ACGAAAAGAAACGAATTGTCCCTTTTAGTTACAACAAATTATAGGAATTGTCACTTGGCTCTTCCAGTCTTATTAAATTGTAGGCATTTTGGAACCTAATTTTTGGCAAACTATATTCTGATAGCTATTTAAGTAGGTACCATTATTCAATTGAAACCACAAATTATTTAATTAGAAATTCCATAATGAACAGGGTCGTTATTAACATATAATTAAGGAAAGACTACCTTATTGTAGCCAAATGGCCGAAAGCGTAACTGCTCAGTATGGTGTTGCAGTTTCTTTTTCCGGCAAGGATTATTGCATGGAAAATAGGGAAAGGAATCGTGCTTGGCGTATGGTAATAAACTCTCATATGGGAATAAAAGATGTGACGTTATATTAACAGTACCTACTTCAGTTTGTAAGTAAGCAATGAAATACAAAACAAATAAGGTATTAACGACTAGATAGTGCATCAAATTAACATTATTAAACTTCACACTTCTGCCTTGACCTTGCGAATATCAAACAAGGAACACCCATACTAAGAAATAACAATACATATATAGAAGTGACGTAAATATACTCACCGATATTTGTATAAGACCAAAGTTTACAACTACTTAATAGTGAACCATAATAGTCAATTTAATTTACCCCAATAAGAATAAACCCAGTACGTAAAACCGTCATAAGTTAATGACGAAATAAGCTCCTATTATTGTGTATTAACTTACCCTACCTGCCTTATTCGGTAGTTATATGCAAGCGTGACGTCACTCGGCTATTATATTGAAAATATTGCCTACGTCATCAGATGTAAATGGTAGCCAGATAATTTTATGGCCTTTATATCAACCGTCGATTAGACAGGTCATTCAACTTTGAATATTTAAGTAGGTGGCTATGCTATGTCAATTGGTCGTTGACCATGAGACTCAGAAGAGAATATTCACACTATGGACAGCTCGTCTACAATCTATATACTACCGATTAAAATGAATAATGGATGGTAACAAGCTTCTTATATGGTAATATTTATATTTTCCTCTAAACGTCTAGTATCTGAATAGTTTCCTCTTAATTTTATTACCATAAATAAAATAATAAAACAAAGTCGCAGTAGTGTGGTGGTTTATACGCTCTTAAGTCACCTAGTACATGCCAAAGTAGGCATCCCATATTTCAAGCGTTCGGAATATCAGACAAAGGTACTTCGTCTGCATACGTAGTTACGTTCACACCTGTGAACCTACATTCAAACGATATTCCAGTTGTGTAAAAAGAAAACAGTTCCACGTATGTATCACAAACGTTAAATTCGAAGAAAAACATCGGCAAATACACGAATTCTGTCCATGCGATGAAGTATGCGAAAGAACCGTTAGTCCCACCAATCGAATTGATACTTAGCCTTGAAGCTATTCAAAAGATGATACTAAATGTATGTAAAGGAAATATATATAGCTTTATTAAGTTTAACCTTTAGATAAAATGTTCTAAAGTGATTATCTAGTGTCGTCATATTCCTAGCGAAGTTCTTAAGCTCTTTTTTTAGAGTTCTCACTGTTCTCAGTCGCTTGCGCATTGGGTGGCGTGCGGTAACCACCTCCAGACAACAGCCAATGTCGCTTGAATAACTGGTTTGGTGACCTTTCTGTGTTGCACATTAAACGGCCCATACCATGGATTTATTTAGGCTATCATCGACCAATAAAAGTACAAAGTACATGCATATGCATACATTGCATGTTTTATTGTTTTTTTTATAAACACTTCGTAAAAAGTATGTCCAATCAATTCTTTGTTCCACATTGAACTTTTCGGTTACATAATGATTACAATATGCCTGTATGGTCAACTTTCAAATTGCTTGAACAGTCCGTCAGTATTTTAATGTTGTTTCATGTAGAACATACAAAATGATGAATAATTTCTCCATACGTATGTAAGACAGGATTCAATGGCAATGACAATATACAACTGATGTTTACATTTATTGGTTAGCTTTAGATAGATACTACATATCAGTATTACAGTATTGACAATGTCGCATATTATATTGGCAGTAAACAAATTGAAATGTTCTGGAATGTGTTTCGTGTGGAGAGCGTTTTGCGAATACGAGTGAGCCGGTTCGCGCGCATCAAAGGCATGCAATAATGCCACGTGGCACTCGCAATGCTGCCATTGTGAGGCTGGAATTTATTCAAAGCTTTGTCGCTTCAACTACTATCTGATTGAACTCAGCTTTAGGAGCACTTTTGTTCTTTATTGAAAAAAGGATATAAAAAACTTAAACCTTAGTCTTAGATTGCTAAAAGAAAACTGTTGACCGGTCACGGGTGAACCGCATGGCGTTTATCGTGTTAAAAAAATTACTTGCCTTTTTCAATTTTGCTAAAGCTAAATAACATAATATTTATTTAGTCCCGTTTTTATCCCCGAACCTACCCCCGGTGTACCATAAATAAGCTTGGAATCTAGGTTTTTCCAAACAATACAATACTGGACGTTTGATTGTTATTACCTGTTACGGATTTCTACCTAATGGTATTTCAGTATAGGGCAGGGCCCATTTGATCCAAACAATTGCAATTGTTTACCTACAACAAATTATTTGACTCATCTTATTTTTCAAAATATTTCCCCAATGCCTTTTGTTCTTAGGGAATTACCTACCTAACTACAATAATTAATTCTATATGTAACAATGCATTTTGGAATTATCAAAACATGTGTCATAATTTTGCAATACATTTGTAATTAATTAAACAAACAATTAATTAATATTGCAAAATAATTTGACATAAACTTTGAATGTTGACTGACGCAGTTGATGAGTCTTTGTCATCTTAAATTAGATAAATATTAGGTACCTGATGTCAAGTATTTTTGGTGTTATACGGAAAGTCATTGAAAACAAGTAATACATATATAAAAAAAGAAGTCTTTAACAGGTTTATCTATAGCTATATAATATACTATTGCTAAACTTTTGTCGAATATTGTTAGCGTTTAATACGAGAAAGATATTGCTGGGAATCTCCCACGTGGGCACAAAAATGGTTTTAAAACACCATGAATAAACACTATGTTTGTTCTACTTCGATGTTCGACTGGCCACAGTAGCGACTGCTGTACGTGGTATTTGGTACAGTGGTATAACATTTACAAGCATGCTAATTTCTGCCTTAATACGATACTTATTTCCCGACATCTATAATAAATCGAAAGGTGTCTTTCATAAAGACCTTCTGTCAACAAAAACAGCAGACCAAATTAAATCGGATTCGATCCTTCATGTATCTATGGCAATGAACAAGGGAAATGGGGACCTTAAGGGGTGCTTAGGACTACTAAATTGCTGTGATACAAAAGTTTTAAATCTTTTACTCAAAAAACGAAGTGAGAACTTAAACTTACTAAGTTAACTGGCATTTCCTGTCCACCTGTCGTCATGTCTGACATTTATGAGGTGGTAATTCTGACTCATAATCAAATTAATACTTTATTATTTTATGCAGATCATTCTTGTTTGAATTTCTACATTAAGGTAAGGTAATAAGTAGTTTGGTCTAATTGTATCGTTACAATAAATATTGTTATTGGCAATATTTTTCCTGCGAATTCGTGCTATTTTTGTCCCTTTGTTATAATGAAACTTAACAAATAAGTGGAATACAATGCGACGCCATTTGTTTTTCATAATGAGACATTGGCAAAAATAAATTCCGTAAGGAACACTTGTTTAAAGACTTATGCGGAATAAATAATACCACATTTCTTTAAAACTACATGTGAAAGTAATATTTAAAACTCTGTTCATAAGGTCGTATTTCAATTTCTACAAACCCAAATGCGCGTGATTGAAAGCTCAGTCCACAACGGCGCAGGCGCTTACGTGACCATTTATGCGTCCATCTAATTTGCCTTCTAAAATGGTTGTTTAAGAACATTTCATTATTATTGTTATTCATTTGCAATCTCCGACACTTCAATTATCTGCACGACCATCGAGATCTCTGTTAATCTAATCGCTATTTAGAGTCTGAACTGTGATGGTATTTTAGTAGAAGCTTTTTCAAAATAACTGTCTTCTTTAGTCAGTGTGTACTCGCTTGATAATATTTTCCCAAATGACGTTTATCGGATATTAAACAGACCTGGCAACACACAAACGACACATTTTAAAAGGGAAAATATTATTGTAATAAAATTGTTGACCATTCTATACACTAGAGATACAGATTCATTCAAGTGATTGGATTCTGATGTTCCATAAGTCAATAAGTTCATAAGCCACAGCAACTGATTTTTATCAGAGCCTAACGAATAAAAAGCAACACAGTTTGATGAAAAGCTTTCTTGCAACAGCTGCAACTGACACTTTGATAGTTTTTTAAAGGAAAATATTTTGTTTTTAAAGAATATTTTGTCCTTATAGCCTGCTGCAAACAGGTTTTGCGGTTACAAGAATCCTTTTTACGTGATTCACTTTTGAACAGACAACTTTGCACGTACGTATATGGGGATTTCATAAGGAAATCGGTTTCTAACTAAATGTTTCTTGTATGTCATCAGTCATTGCATTATTTTGCATATTACGTCAAATAGATACTCAGTAGGTTATAATTGTATCTGTAACTTATGTTTTGTTATGTCTATTATAACGTAATTGGACAATTATGATTGAAACAAAATAGTATTTAAATAAGTATGACAAGTAGAATTATCGACATCTTTAGTGGCCTTTGATCCGTCTTCATTTTAATGCCCTCAACTAGATGAAATTCCTTCTTATTTAAGAAGATACTTATAGGGAAGATAGCAAAGCCTTATTTGTATCCTAATATTCTTTTAATAACTGTGAAATATTAGCGAAATCTTAAGATTAATGAACTTTTGGAAGTTTATTTCCTTAAAATTATGTAGACCTTTTTAGATAATTGACTGCTACAAAAACCGAGTAAAGTTTTCATGCCAAAAGAATTAATAGACATTTTGTTTATTTTTAGAAAACTTGGGCTGGAGCTGGTACCTCGTCGAGGTGCAGAGGCGGTAGATCCTGAGGATATGAGCCTCGTGGAACTATACAGAGTGCACGTTGAAAGTGCGGAAAGGGCAGCAGCGGTGAGTTAGCAATTATAGGTGCCATCGTCATCATACCAGACACAAGGCGTCAAACTATACCTACCACATTTTTGACCATCTATCTAAATTAGTAGCTATCATGTGCCATATTAGTGCAAGAAGGCACAAAGCATATATTCGGTTGGTAATCCATCCTTCCTAGGATTATTTTAAGATTTACTACCCGAATAAGGTTTGACTACTTAAGGCATAAAGTTCCCTGAGAAGAAAATTTATCACACATCCAGTTATGAAAACAATACACATCACATCAACAGCATATAAGTGGCCACTGCTGACCAATGGCCTTTTCTCACAAGGAGAAGGTGTGCGCATTAATCGGCACGTTTGCTCAATGCGGGTTAGCGTCGTCATTTCAAAACTTATAATTCGAAATTAAAAGTCCAGGTTTCCTCACGATATTTTCCTTCACCGCTTGTCAGTGGTGTCTAAATAATCTTAGAAAGTACATAATAACTCGGAAAAAGTCGCATTGGTACTTGCTGTTGGTAGGTTTCGAACACGCACCCTCATGCATGAAAAGTCTTAGACCTCCGCGCCACCACGACATATAGAAACGCGAAAACAATACATACAGCTCAAAACTGGTTTGCTTTATCATTTAATAATATTATCCTCAACTTGACTTACTTAACTCGTCGAGTACCGGTTTTATAGACACAATTAAAGAACAATAGGTCGCGGTCACCGGTGACCGCTTGGTGTTTGACAGTTTAATATTCCGTAACAAATAATATTTTGTCGAGTTTGGGAATAGAACTTGCTACATACAGTCCTCATCGGAATGATGATGAAAAAACGAATGAACCCATACTACCTACGTCTTTTAGATCCCACATTTTTTGTTCGAACAAATCTAAATAATAATAGGTGACAAATTGACACGTTATCAGAAGCTAATATGTTTGGTTTAACAGAACGACGAACATGAAACTCAGAAATGTGTTGTGGTTAAGCTAAGTTTGTTACTTGGGAGCTATTGACAAATTGTCCATTATAGCTTAATGCTTCATTGAGTGTTGGTCCATAAGCGCATTTTTTTAATGCTACTTATAGTAACAACAAAACTTATACTTAGGCCATTTGATAGTTGACATCACATTCTCACATTTGCCACCGTAGCCTATAGTCCATGTACACCTACAAATACTAGTGCTTGGATCCGATCTCCAAGATGGGCAAAAGTGTTTTAACTAAGTACATGGAGTCCAAGAATTCCCTAGTGTCGCTTCGTGCATAGAAAACTACATAAAACTATAAGAACAACCTGACCTCTATCCGATCGTGATAGATCGCCGTCCTATTAGATCATGAAGAAGTAAACAAATATAATGCACAGATACTTGCTTTTTTAAAATCTTCTACGTAATAGGTTAATGTTGTGTGAGAATGACCAATAGGGTCGAAGAGGTAATATTGATCGTCGTCTTTTTGAATAAGGTCGTTTCTAGTCTAGTAAATTGTCTAAGTATACCTACTGCAGTTGTTAGCTGTGAGGATTATTGCCTTAATTGAACGTTGCATTATCTAGTAACTCATAAATAGGTTATGGTGAGATAAAATGACTCGTCAAACAGGTTTTTAGGTACAATTTAGTAGAACATTTAAGTATGGAGGATAGGCGGAATGTGTACAAGTCTATATTGATATTTTAGGATTAAGGATTGATAATAACTTATTATTTTATTATCTACTTATGTGAGAACTAAATTTGTATTTATTAAGAGGACAATCATTAGATTTGTTTTAATTTTTTGTGTTTTATAAACGTTAACGTCATTTAATTCGAGATAATTAATTTAATCAAGGAATTTCTGTAAGGTCTTGTATTTCACACATTTTTTCCTGGCATTAAAAATAAACTAATGTTGTATGTTGGGATCACGTTGAGACTCCGTTTTCCTACATAATGTGACTTACTGGCATTCCTCCCTTTCCTGTGACTCGACTGGTGTTGAGTCCATCGGCGGCGCTGATCACTTACCATCAGGTGATCCGTCTGCTCGTTTGCCTACTATTCCATAAAAAAAAATATAACTATTTACCAAATGACAACCAAAGTTTAATAATTTTAAGAAAAAATAGAATCATTTAAGGAAAAAAATAGTATTACTTCTATTGACATATCAGCAACTAGTTTATTCATAAATAAGTATTAACCCAGATGAAATATCCTTACTTTAACTATTCATTGATGGCTTTTTTCCTGTTTATACAGCTTTACTTAGTCAAATGCGTAACGACTGACATATGTATGATATCTTTGCAATAGTTTGACGTACATAATGCATAGACGAGACGTATTTATTTATCTCTAAAACCCATAAATGACGATGTGTTTACTTGTTTGCTCAATAAATAAAATAATATGTTGATTAATACTTTTTTAAGGGGGGGAAATCATCGAATGACGTCTCACGCATGGGGGAGGCGGGAGGGAGTCACTTTTACTACTAAAACCACCCTGTTCCTACTCCTGCACTTCGAGCCGGAGCCCCGGTAACCCGTTAAGTTCTCCGCGGCTCCGTATATTAATAAATAGGTTCTTCTCTAGGGTATATAGGAACGTATACCTACTTTTAATGAAGAAATACGCTTACTAGGAGACTGACCGACAGAGGGTGTGACTTTCCTTATTGGAAACTTGTATTATACTGTGTATTTGGTATACAGGATATAAACGGAACACGAAAACGCAGACAACTGATGGTGTTGCGGAGAATCTAACGGGTAACCGGGGCTCCGGCTCGACGTGCAGGAGAAGGAACGGGGTGGTTTTTAGTCAGTAAGAGTCTGACACTCCCTCCCGCCTCACTCAGGCGGGAGCAGTCATTCGATGATTTCCCCCTTAAAAAAAAAAGACAACTGATGGTAAAAAACGAGATATATTTTCAAAAAATTAAGAAATATTTGTTTCTTTTATGTATAGAGGTATAGTTGTAGTCAACTGCTTAAGGCTGATGTTGTATGAATAACACGTAAAAAAGGATTAAAACTGTAAAAACATAGTTTTTTACTGCGGTTTCGGAAACGTTCCCTTTACTCCATATATACCAGCTGTGTGAGCTCAAGTCTTGCGCTTACACACTAAGCTCAAGTCTTCACACAATCAAGTTTAACATACTCCTGAGGTCACTCACCATTTATGTAGGCAAATAACAACTTGTAAATCATTGCACTATTCACTGCAACGTACCTCTTCAAGGAAAGTAAGTTGTACATCGGTAATCCCTACATTTGACATAAAGTCAAAATTGCCATAAACCTATCCTCACTCGAACTTAGATCTCTTAATAGATACTGTAAAAGTTTTATTAAGAACTCAACTAAATTATAACCATATAATACTAAATGGCCATAACTGTATATTGAAACGACTAAACCTGATAACAATAATAATATACTTACACAGATGGTACCCTACAGGTTATTCCTGTCCAAGGATACATGTTTAACTTTATTTATAGGAATTTGCGATAAAACTTACCCTAACAAACTTGATCCAGACTTAAGTGGGAGTTACGAGGTAGCTTAGCTAGGGTAGGGTTTCTTGTTAACCAATAAGGAAGTTTGTTTAATAAAAATATTAGCTTGTAATGCGGTTTCATTAACGTCCTTACTTGCTTTAGTTAGACGTTTGACGTTTACAAGCTTTCAAGGGTAAAGTGGCCAGTGTCGGACATTTCAAGAGGCGACTTTCATAGTGACTAAAGATCAGTCTCGACGACCCTATACTTATCTCTAGTTGATACCTTGATTACTGAAGTTGGCTGCAAGTTAAGACTCTTTTTTTGAAGTGGGATAATCCAATCCCTTTTCTCGCCTTGGGTTAAGTAAGAGAGAGTATCAGACTCTTACTGACTAAAAACCACCCCGTTCTTGCAACCCGTTAGGCCTTCCGCGGCTCCGTATCGGGCATTAGCCCTACTGGCCCCCTTTTGTGGTGATCTCCTATATTTTTGAAATCACTTTTCGTCACTTCCCTTATGACAATATTTTTGAAAACACTTCGTCACTTTTCCTATAAGTAGACGAAAAAATTAATTAAACACTTGACTACAAGCCTTAATTCTCTATAGAAAGCAAATAGCATCCGAATCCAGCAATTATTAATTAACAAAATCAATACTGCGTAATATCATAAGAACCGTTGTTCTTCTTAAAACAAAGCAAGAAATAAAGCTATTGGGCTAACTGTAAGTTGGGAACTTGAGACAGACGACATCGGGGCACCTGTCAAACAAGTTAGGGACATGTTATACTTAAGCATGTTGTTTAGTGTTAATGTCATCGTATTGTATTGTATTTAAACCTTTACCTATTTTCTATGAAAGTATTAGTTGCCTATGTACCTAATAAACGGGTGTAATTTGTATATAGGGTTTTTTGAGTCCAGTTTCTTATTTACATTCCAGCCTTACTTGACACAATTATAATTAATTTTTAAGTCATTCGCTGAGAATAAAAATATCTTAATTATCGTGGCTCTGGCTTGAACCAAGAGTTGGAATAGGGTGGTTTTTAGTCAGGCAGGAGTACCAAATTCGATTATTGTCAACTAAAAAGGGTAGATAGTTGAAAGTCTCTCATTGGTCTTAAAAAGTCTAAGAATTTGATAGAACTTCGGATTCATTAACAGAGCATCTAGCAACTTCATTCACATTAATGTTTATCCATCCTACCAGCATATCGACTTGCACTCGTAAACGTTCATCATGAGAACTTAATATAACATACTTATTTTATATCAATAATACTTTTCTTCCCACCGGAAACAATAAAACCGTTACTAATATATAATATCTTAAATGCTATAAATACAAGTTCAAGTTTATAACGCGTCTGAGAATTTAATTACGTCGTCATCATTAAATGGTAATTAACGATATTTTATTATGTATTCAGTATCAGTCTAGTAGTAATCGTGGTTGCTATGAGTTCAATATTATGGTCTTTGCTCTCACTACTTTTTTGTGGAGTTGGAGGCAAACGAGCAGACGGATCACCTGATGATAAGCGATCAGCACCGTCCTTGGACACCCGCAACACCAGAGGAAAACACTTAATAATATAGATAGCATGCAACTTAGAAAAATATTTCACTGGTTAGTCTTTCGCGCCCAAAAACCGTGGTTACAACGATGTCTTTAGAATAAAGAAATAAAATGTTGTACAAAATAATATTGTACTTACCTACTTTAAACAAATGTTCTTAACAAGGCTATGCTAGGAGGTTCGTCGTTTTTCCTGTGTATGAATTTCATTTCATATTCTTAGTAATGAATGAATGTTCCACTGGTATGTATCTTCAGTATTACTAGAATGAATAAGAAACGAGTAATTCAATCAATCATTGTGTAAAACATCGTAAACAAATAAATTCCAGGAAAAAGTTGTGGCTATAGGGATTTTTTTAATAACCGCTTTTCACCAGTTTTGTTATTAGCCATTACCGTGACTGCACGCGCACAGCTTGCAGGTAGCTCGCAACCGGCTCGCGAGCGGTACATTCAACAGATGTGAACGCACCCTTATGATTATCAAAGCTGGTAAAAAGTGGAGGTGCAAAAATACTCTGACTATCCCTTCACGCAATAAAATGTCCGTTTCAGTATAGAACTCACTCAAATACTGGACTCAATTCCAGAATCCGACTCAATGAAATGGACATAGTTCTATGTGAAAATGCAATTTTTTACAAAGATATCAACTGTATCTATATACTTTGACTGTCTCTTTCTTAGTGTGGTCACAGTCGCAACTATTAAACGTTGGTGTTACATTTACCCAATTTTGTCATGCCACTTTTGCTGGTGATCCATGAACTAATTCAAGACATTTTTTAAACTTTATCAGATTCATTTCTATCTACATACTAAACCTATGATACAGTATGTAGTAGGTAGGTACTATATAGGTTTAATGAACCACACTTCATTACAGACTTAATGAATAGCTGATGTCTTACAAACATGCCACGATTTCTTTTAATACTAGTCAGCGAATCAGTGCTTACTTGCCAGTAATATTGCATCGCCATTTATGGAGTATGTAACTAAGTGATTTAAGAGAGGTCGGGTTTCATAACTTAGTAACATATGGTACCGCTTATCTTATATACGAAGTACATACTTAGATATAGATATGGAATTATGCCTTTTATTGCGTGAAGGGATAGTGACAGTATTTTTGCCCCTCCACTTTTTACTAGCTTTGAGATACGTCCACATTTGGCGAATATGCCGCTCGCGAGCCGTCTGCGGGCTGCCCGCAAGCTGCGCAGTGTGCTGTCACGGCAATGATTTGGTGCTCAACTCATACAAAAGTCGCATTTCGAAGGACATTTCTGTAGCTTAGTTTGTTATAATGTTATACGTACCTACGTATGCCACGGAGAACTTAACGGGTTACCGGGGCTCCGGCTTGAAGTGCAGGAGTAAGAACGGGGTGGTTTTTGGTCGAGTAAGACACTCTGACACTCCCTCCCGCCTCAACCAGGCGGAAGAAGTCAGTCGATCATTTTTCGCCCTTAAATTAAACATACTACCTACGTATAAAAATAGATTTTGAAAATCTTATATCCATAGAAGTATAGCTGGGGTCATTCTAAAGCAAAAAAAGTTTTTTGACGAATAAGTAACATCTTAAAACTTATAACCAGTTTCACAAAGCAATAGTGCTCAAACCCGGTTCCCTTAATAACTGCGGATGGTAGACAGTCGCTCCACATAAAACCAGACTCCAACTTGTTCCTGTATTATTATGGATGAAGAAAACTTGTCTTGTAGACTCGTGCGCCTAATGAACTCACGACAAAGTATCTTTTTGAGTGGACCGAGCTTGGACATTGGATCTAAGCTAGAATCTCAAGTCATCTTATAGGTCATTGCTCTGTTAAATCTAGGCGTCATAATCAAATGTTGCTATCTAAATTGAATTTGCAATTTAATGGTTCATAATGAGCTGTGGGTGTGATTATTTTTATATTTTTTATGTTGTTATGCGTGTAGGTAAATGATTCTTGTATACTTATTTTAAAATTGTATGTACCTCTATAATGTTATTAAATTTCTACAAGCTTTGTAATACTGGATAAAATTTTTACGTGCTGCTCAGTAGTAAGACCCTACAAAACTATTTAATTTAAGTATATTATTTTACTCAGCAAACTGTCAAATATCTCTTGTCCTTGTCTTACATTGAATTTCGTATTACATGGAAGTTGCGTTGGTCATATTGATAACAAGATATTTTTTATTATAGTGCTTAAATAATGATTTCTTCTCCAGTGGCGAGGCACACTCCGCCGAGCAGGCGGATCAGGCAGCAGCTTCAACTCAGGCACACTCACCTCGAACAGCTCCACCACTTCCACCACCACAGTCCAGTCCCACCATCTAATGTGCAGTATGAGGGACTTTGGGCATACTGCGGGCGGAGATGAAGCGGAACTGCTCCTCTGGCTTCACGACGCAAGGAGAGCTCAACCTTTATCAGAGAGATTCCGAATCCGAATAGCCAGAGACGGATTCTCGAACTACGTGGATAGATTGCATGCTAACAGTACTTTATTTGCGGTAAGTATTTATTTTACAGGCTAGGTTATTTGATAACCCTAAAGTTTTGGAGTGCTTGTAAGGCTTTGACAATATGTCTTTTTATGGGATAAGCCGGGAAACGAGCAGACGTATCACCTGACGGTAAGCAATCGGCGTCGCCCATGGATACCCGGAACACCGGTTTACTTCGGTTTTTTACATTACAAAAGCAATAAGATTTGCTTCTGTCTGACAGTATTAGGAATATATTACTTACTTACCTAATAAATGTATGTACACACTAAAAATACACATAGTGTAATACACTAAACTTAAAGGTATTTGGCGCCCTAGTTCTACATATAACCGCAAACAAATTGATATTAGAGTAGTAACTAGGTAGGTACGCCGACTATGTGATCTTTAAACTATATACCTATGTTTGTATTACAAAAACATAACATTTTCCAGGTCATCGATTTATTCATTTAGCCTCAGGTGAAATGGCAATTGTTTTATTATGAATATTTATCGTAAGCTAAACACAAATTAATCAGAAGTAGTTTCACGCTCCACTGCTGATAAAGTTTCGCTTCGATAAGGTTTTATTGGAGGAAAAATAATACTATAGCTTTTTAATTGATACAGTTAAATGAAACAAAATGGTATCTATATTACCTATATGTATAGATCTAGATAGAGATTGCACATTAATGAACCGAGCTTCATTAAGTTACATCCTTTGTGATAATGCTGGTGTTTAAAAAGTAAACATTGCGCGTCGACATTTTTAATTGTAATATGATCGTTTCGTAAAACGTCATTCAGGTTAAACTGTCAAACACCAAGCGGTCACCGGTGACCGCGACCTATTGTTCTTTAATTGTGTCTATAAAACCGGTACTCGACGAGTTAAGGCAATGAAACTGGTTCAATGCGGTGTATGGTCCGGTATCGATAACATAACGTACCTCTTTACCTGTTTTTGCTACAGGACTGCAGTTGAGTTTAAGATAAGGCGATATGCAATACATATATTTGTTTAATTGGTATTACTTTTATAATAATATTGATTACAAACCATGTTTAAACAGGAAAATTCGTATTTCGTTCTTGCTAATTAGTCTAGAATGTATTTGTAAATGGAAACTTTGTGCAGTTGGTTTTTATAGTATAAAAATACACCTGCTATTTGCATTAAAGAAACTAGGTGAAACTACTAAGGTTTTAACTTTGTGTTGGAACTTTTTAGTAGGTTTTCCCTAACAACCTTTTATGGTGCTCCCTGTGAAAATGAATACACACATTAGTCAACATCTTAATGTTGTATTTTCTTTGGATTATAATATTTTAGCACATTATTACAAATGGTGGTTCAAATTTTTATAAATGAGCATCCCCTTAAAAATAATTTATCTCTCGTTTGAGGTATTTTAAACTGATGAGTCTAGATAATCGCCGTAAAATCCTAGATCACCTCTTCCTGTACAAACTAATAAACAACCACATTGACTGTCCGCAGTTACTTAGCCAGATTAATGTGAATGTGCCCTTCAAACTGGCTCGAATGTCTAGATATCGGCTGCTTTCAGGTAAAGGCTTTAAAACAAGCCTGGGTCATTTTTCCTCAATTAATAGAATGCAAGAACAATTTAGTCGCCTGTCATGCTCACTTAGTGTGGATATTGACATGTCCTATTCTCTTTCTAAAGTGAAAACTGTCCTGCGTAGGACATTCTCACAGAGTTAAACTGCACTATATGCACTACATGTTCAGATCAAAATCAAAATTGTACACTTTAAAAATTAAGAAGAAGTAAAAACTAAAATTTAACAATTGTGATTGAAATTGATGTCTTTTTTTTTTTTGATAAGCGAACTTTGTTTTTTTTTTTGTTGTAATATCCTGTTCTTTTATAATGCATGTCGTGGCAGCCTGTAATTAAGGCTACACTATAGAGTGTTAAAATATTATGTAAAAAAAACCTATCATGTATTTTGGTGTATGCTTTGTTGGTTGTCCTTAAATAAATAAATAAATAAATAAATCTTAGTTATAAGTCTCAGTCAATAGTAGAAACATTTATAGCACTTTTAAATACTAACATAACATCACGCCTTTTACCCCCGAAGGGGTAGGCAGAGGTGTACGACACTTAATGCCACTGTACAATATAACACCCACTTTTCACTACTTATGTTATGAGTCGTTTGTAATTGAGGGTGAACCTATTGCCATATACCGGGCACCATTCCAGACTCCGTACTACTACTGAGAATAACAAAACATCACGCCTTTTATCCCCGAAGGGGTAGGCAGAGGTTTACATTATGCCACTGTACAATGTAACACCCACTTTTCACTATTTATGTTATGAGGCCCATGTAATAGGAGGTGAGCCTATTGCCATACACCGAGCACAATTCCAGACTCCGTGCTACTACTGTGATTTTTTTTGAAAACTACTTAGAATACATATAATAAAAAACCCAGTAATACTTTACCCGACCCGGAATCGAAACCGAGACCCCTTGCCCGACAGTCGCACTAGCGTCCACTCGGCCAACGAGGCAGTCAAGTTAAAATACACCCGGTATTTAAAAGTTAAAATCAGTTAAAAGCATCAACATTTCTTCCAGGATTTATCAACGACGGATCTCTCGAGAGAGCTATGGCTGGTCGCGTGGGTGATACGAGTGGGCCGATGGGCTGGTGCCGGGAGCAGCGGCAGTGGGACTGGGGAGCGACGAGGTCCAGTAGCCAGAAGGCCGTTGGGTGCTGGAGTGTTACCTTTAGCGGAGTTCTTAAGACAACCTGGTCAACATCCTGGGGAGAAAGAATATACGTTTAAAGTGAGTGCTTTAAATGTTCAGTCTCTTTTTGTTCCTTTAATCTTAACTCATTTTTTCTCCTGCAGTAATTAACCGAGGGAAGTGGAACCTAGTTTCTTTTATATTTCTGATACCTTCTGATTCATCTCGTTGCGGGAACCAAGACAGTTATTCATGTCTCTGGGACGCGCCAGACTTCAGTGTCCGATGTTTTTATGGTTATATCTATTGTAGATCCTGGCTTACAGGAGTTGCAGTCGTATTTTGAGACCGTGGCGGGCTTATCCCATTAGCAATAGGTGTTATTTAGTTTCATCTGTTACAATGTTTGGTCTATATGTCTGACTGTAATTTCCTTTGGTTCAGCTGAGGTAACTAGGTATTGAGTAAGTTAGGTATCACGTTCGGTGCAATGACTGGGCCGCCGGCTGCGCGACGTGTGATGGGTCACGTAAATATATTTTTCCTGATGAGATACTAACATGGAAAGTCTATGTGTATCCAATTTATTGTGGGGTCTAAATAGGTCCAATAATATTATGTTTTTTTTTAACATTAGTCATCTGCACAGTACTTATTAACACCAATTTTGTTTATAGGTGTATCAATGCGAAGAGAAAGATTTCCATCAGCTACATGACATGCTTATAAGGAAACAAACAAATAAATGCAATATTCTCCCCGGACAACCCAACTATGGTAAGTCATACTATTGCAGGAAAAATATTTATTGCATTTATTTACTGTAACGCTTAATCACGAGACCTGTACCTTAAACCTAACTTGGAAAAAATACAAATCCCATAAACAGACGCTTCGTATCAATACAATCTGCAAACCTTTAAGAAACATGTTTGTAGGTCCTTTGTTACTGCGACTGTCCATGGGTGTCGCTAATCACTTACTACCAGGCGATTTGTAGGCCCTTAATCCATGAAGAACCGGGGGACACGGTGGAACATACGGGGGCGGTGTGCTCTGCGTTAGCTGAGCACTGCCGTGTCTTCAGAGATGTGATCGGCGACGGCGATCTCTCGCGTCCGACTCTAGTTCAAAATATGGTACGGAGCAAGGGTGACTGGGATGCTGTCTCCTCCTGCTGCGAAGCAGTCATGTTAGCTAAGGAGGAGGCGGAGTGCATGAAGGAACGAACCTCCTCACGACCCAGCCGTCGCGAGAGACACTTCATCGGGCGTCGGGAATCGCGAGACGATCTCCGGCCACCGTGTTCGACGCCCGACCAGAACCTGACCCGAGCGTACGGCGCGTTACGTTCCGCGTGCGCCTCAAAGAGCCATCAGACCTCCACAGTACGGCTCAATAGGGCTGATGCCGACCCACGGAGGACTTAACTTGTTGCCGGGGTTCTGGCTCGAAGTGCAGCAGTAGGAACGGGGTGGTTTTTAATCAGTAAGAGAGAAGGCAATGGATGATTCCCCCCCTCGAAAAAAGTCTATGAAGAAAATTTAAAGATTTTCGTTAAACCCAGCCTCTATGATAGACGTTATTTTATGACAACTTAAACTGTGCAGCTATCAATGCCCTCATTTCAAGAGGCCTTGAATGCATTTTTCCACATTACAAATTGCTTTAGAATCTTTATAAGAACTTAGGATGAAAAATAAATCCTCTTAAAGGCTTACACCTTATATACTCGCTAATCAAGTCAGATAATATTATGTCACGGAATAAATTGCAAGCATTAGATAATGTAGCTTACGTGTTCTGGGAAACAAGAGAATGTTTACTGCATATCTATTAGCTTAGACTTTGGTCTAGACTTGTAGACTATCTTATTTATATTGTAGCAGTGTCGACAGTTTAGGAAGGAAAACATTCCTTTTGAAACTTTCAAACACCGCAGGGACACAGGTGACCGCAACCTATTGTTCTTTAATTGTGTCTACTGTCTATAATGATGGTACTCAAAGGGTTAAAAGGCCGGCAACGCACCTGTGACTCCTCTGGTGTTACGGGTCCGGTGATCCGTCCGCTCGTTAGCATTCTATTCCATAAAAAAATATTCGGTCTTGTTAGTCTGGTGGACGCAAGTAAGTCAACGTCGCACGCCTTTTTTTATTTTTTACACTTTATAGGTCGACGTTTGACCACCATCGAATTTTAAATTGGATCATTTGCCTGGATTGTTTGTCCCGGTATTATTGTTCTTGTTGAGTTAGTGATTGTCACCGTCCTTGCAAAATAAACTATCGCACTAAAATTGTAGTAAATAATTATATTATAAAGTACATTTAAATGAAAAACCGAGTTCAAGTAGGATGCGCGTGCACTTTATGTAAAACGCTTGTCACGAATCCAAGTCTCCCCCTAACTAAAAGTATCAATGAACAAATTAACTACAAGATAGCATCATCAAATAATTGCAGGAAGACGACAATTTATTTTACATCGTTAATTAAATACAACGTAGTATTTATGCACATAAATCTTGATTTACATAATATATTCATACGGTATTCTCGTAACTATAATACAAGTGACGTATAGCGCGATTATGAAGAAATCAAATAAGTTTTGTAGTAATAATAATTTTGGCTGACCTTCGAAAAGGACAGGTGTGTGTCCTGTGCGGGACATCGGATGTTTGTCCTATACACTTTTGAAATGTAAGGAACAGAAAGTACACCTGTTTGTGAAAACATCTGCTTCTGTGTTGTACTACATAGCAATAAACGTGTTGGCTCATGTAGTTTAAGATGTACGTCTCCGATTTTAGGCTATATTTTTAGGCGATTGATCTTCTGACGTCCGAAGACTTAAATATCGTGCCATCTCTGTCGTTTTACAAAGAATTTGTAGTGAAAGAACTAAACATATGCGTGACTTAAAATTGAGTTGCGTTTGATTATTTGGACATTAGAGTAATTTTAAATCTCAATAACAGACCGTTGTGTTCAACTAAATTAACCTCTTCTTAGCTTAGCGTGTCGATGGTAATCTAGATTCAATTGACTCAGAATTGGACAAATTAAGATACTGTTTATTAATTACTATAAAAGAACTCAGACTGTCGCACACACACACGTGATAACCAGACCAGGAACAACTGTAAAGTGTGGGAGAACCATTCTTCGGCACGAATGGGCCGGCTCGACCGGAGTGATACCACGGCCTCACAGAAAACCAACGTGAAACAACGCTGGCGTTGTGTTTCGTCGCGTGAGTGCGGTTACCGCAGGCCAAATTACCCCTCCCCCAACCAAATCCCTGAATCCCTAACAATCCTCAAATTCTTAATCCCAAAAGGCCAGTAAAGCACTTGTAACGCCTCTGGTTCCAGGTGTCCATGGGCGACGCCGATTGCTTACCATCAGATGATCCGTGTGCTCGTTTACCGGCTTATACCATAAAAAAAACAATTTGTGGATCACACAAAGAGTCCGTCTAGCGGATCAATCGCACAATACTCTGCCCAGTCCCTAAGCGGTCAACAGTGACCACTTACTCCATTTTAGACCTTATTTCTGATGTTAAGAGACTACTTTTGTATGAACAAATGTAGATTATTCATAATCGGGGATTAATAAGTATGCATAAATATCCCAAAGCTTATCATAACAAATATTAATGCTAATAAACCTCTTGTTTGTTACCCCATTACGCTTTATCTACTCAAATAATCTTGCAAACATGTAGCTTAGAGTACATACAAGGAAGGAAATAGGTTAATTTACCGCAAAGTCGTAGATAAAACCCAATAATTAATGATTTACTTATCAATCATGCTTTACAGGTATAGTTGTAGCCCTGCGTCTCTTATCAAATGCTGGTAGCATATCAGAAGCCGTCGGTTCCGGGGCCACTGTGACTGCTAAACGAGGATTCCCTGACGTCATCATGCCGGGCGACGTCCGCAACGACCTCTACCTGACGTTGGAGAAAGCAGAGTTTGAAAGAGGCGGGAAAAGCACTGCGAAGAATGTTCTAGCAACTGTTACTGTCCATGATAGTACCGGACAGGTTATTAATGTAAGTTCTTTTTGCTACAAACTTCTTAGTGAATACATAACTTCACATCCACATACGGCACTTAATGTCACTGTACAATGTAACACACACTTTTCACTATTTTATGTTATGAGTCCCATGTAATAGGGGGTGAACTTATTGGTATATACCGGGCACATTTCCAGACTCCGTGTCACTACTGAGATTTTTTTTAAATCTAGTTATACTTGCCCAACTTGACCACTTGCCTGGCAGTCGCACCTGCGACATCGCAGCCAATGAGGCAGTCTTAGTCAATAGTCTCAGTTGTTAGTGAATTGTTCTTTGAAAATATCATGTTTATCAATTGACCATACAATTTCCAGTTATCGTTAAAACGCTATTTGTATGCACTTCGCTAATCAACTGAGGTAAAGATATATTAAGCTTTCATTTCTTATTTACTATCATCGCTGATTAGAAAGCCATTTGTTTGAAAACTGCACGAAACGAGTTTTCTGCCGCAATAGTACTTTTATCGTTTAATTCAGTACATTGTGACTGTCAACGCCATCTGTTATTCGTCGAGCTAAAACAACCACTGCTATATAGATTATTTTTACGTTACGACATGAAACGTGAAAATATTTTGAACATATAATTATACTTAGATATTATTTTTTTTTAAATAAATTAGGTACATTATTTTACGAAATATTATTTTTATTGACATAATTCTACTTTTAAAGCAATACATTCTGCTATCCTAGCGGATAAGTCGTCGCTCTCGTTGCAAAATCTATGAGTTAATTCTTACCATATTTATCTACTACAGGAATGTGTATGGGGTGCAAGTGGCAATGGTTCCACGTCGTACGAGTCGGTGGTCCTGTACCACAACAACAGCCCGGCGTGGGGAGAGCACCTGCGACTCACTGTGCCCTTGGAGACATTCACTAATGCACATGTCCGCATCGAGTTTAGGCATTGCTCTAGTAAGTATAATTATTGATTTAATAAATTATGCAAGTCATAAGCTGCTTATACTATGAAACGCTGTAGGTAACCTAAGGTCGGTAAGGTAAGACAAAGTCGCAAAAACGTGTGAAATCTAAAATAATAATCATTTTTTCATCTTCATCATCATCATTATATTCATCAGAAGTCTGGATTATCGACCCTACGTAACGTGGGATTAGGGCAAAAAGAAGAAAACAGTCTACACGATTAGCAAAATAAATAAACAAAAAACGTCGATATTGTTTAAAGTTTTGTTTATTAATGTTAGAACCTTATTAAGTAAAAACCTATTGTTTTATTTTTACAGCGAGAGACAAAACTGAGAGGAAACTGTATGGTTTCGCGTTCGCCCGACTGATGGAAGCTAGTGGTGCTACGTTGAGAGACGGTGCACATGAACTATACGTGTACAAGTGTGACGATCCTACCAAGTACGTATACATAAACATAACTACTTACTTAGTATATATAAACACAACAAAAGCTATGCTTGAGCATAATTTTATATCTACTACCTTAACACAATTGGGTACTTTCCTTAATCAAAAACAAATTATTTCGACTGTGCAAAATAATAAAATCTAAAAAAATAATCACTCTTTCATTAATTGATTTTATGACCAACTTAATTTTAGTATTTTTCCAGCAAATATTTAAGAAATAAGTAAGCTGTTTAACCCTAAAGAACGTGACGTCACAATTCACAATCTCGTACAAAATTCATAGAAAACAGTCGTTTTTGAAAGTTCAGAAAAAGGATTGAATTTGACTGGTTGTCAAATACCGTATTGTATTTCAGTACCATACCTCATATTTTGTCCCCCAGATTGACATCAGCGAGCTACCTCTCCCTGCCATCGTGCGCGGCAGACAGTGCCCGCGCGGGCTCCGTCAACGGCGTGGTGCCAACATTCCAAAGAAGTTCCAAAGAAAACTGTACCATTAGCACCTTACTGTGCTCCACTAAATTAACTCAAAATGGTGAGTTCTTTCTTTAAAGATTATGAACTGATTTTTGATCCGATAGGTGATGAAACACTCGTCTTGGGTTTAGTCCACAGTAACAGCCACTAGACGTCTAATTCGAAACATTGGCCTCTCCTAATAATTAAAATGAGTAACAAGAAATTCGAAGATTCTCCGGTCCTGACCCGATATTGTAATAATTTGACATGGAAATCGAACGAGATTCTGCTCACAGACCATGCAATGAGTGAACGTGATTGTTTTAAACCCCCGGTTATATCTACCTTTATAAGAATAAACCTACATTTATTTCTGTATAAGTATATATTTATGCACAAACAAACTATAGAGGCACAATATTCCTTCATGGCTTCATCATTTGTCACCTCAATTACTTCCCCGCTTCGTAACACAATCTCGTATCATGTGACTAAATCTTAATGGCTAAATAACTGACTGCCAATCAAGAGGTCGGGAGTTCAAACGCCGTTAATTTAACTACGCATCTAATATATGGGTCATGAGAGTCCTTGTAGCAAGGTTGTTTTTGAATAATAAGTTGTTTGGTAAACAAAATTATTATCTAAGGAGAGAAAATGTGTACTGATTTTTATGTGCATCGCTTTAGAACGTCAAACGTCGGCTACATTTTTCTGACTGATACCTGTATATGTGATAGTATACTGTGGAGATGGAGTTTCTTGCTCGTTCTTCTCCATTCGAAACTACACTTTGGAACGAGCGCCTAGCTTCACTAACAGACAGATGGACGGACAATTCAATTTTTGACGTTTCAAAAGTGCCTTATTAAGGATTAATTGAAATAAATGCTTTGGCTTTTTGACTAACATTTGTTTTTTTTTGTTCTATTTGTGTGACACGCTGTGTCTGAACGTCTTTATTTCTTTTCCTAAGGCCCACAGGAAGAAATTCCAGTTGTAAATATGTGGGGCCTATGTACCTCGTTTTTATTATGTGTTGTCCTTTGTGTTGTATGTGTGTACATAAATGATAAATAAATAATATTAGTTAATGATCTGTTTCCTTTTTTATTTAATTAATGAAAATAAAGTGTAATTTATGTATGGAAATATTCGTATTCAACTTTTAAGCGTTGTACTGTCTTGTCTTATTTGTCAGCTGTCATGTTTAATAGACATGCAAGAATCGTATATACTGCTCTATGCGCCTATACAAAAGAATACAGAAGATGGTTTTCTTTCTACAACTATTTACTAAAACGTATCATTTGTATCTCCACAGAGGATCTCCTAGCCCTACTTCAATGGCGCGCCCGTCCAGAGAAGGTGCAAGAGACGTTACTTCGAGTACTGAGACTAGGCGACGGACTCAGCTGCGAAGAGCTTATCAAGTTCCTCAGAGATGTATTAGACGCATTATTCGCGTTATTCTCCACTGAAGATGGAAATAGGCAAGTTATATTGTGTTTGCAATTGGATTTCATTACAATGCCCAAACACGTAATGTTTGAGCATTTTAAGTGTGGGAGAGCCATGCTTCGACACGAATGGGCTGGCTCGACCGGAGTGATACCACGGCCTCACAGAAAACCAACGTGAATAAACGCTTGCGTTGTGTTTCGTCGTGTGGGTGAGGTTACCGGAGGCCCAATAACCCTCGCCTTCCCCAATCTCCCCAATTCCTGAATCCTCAACGATCTTCAAACTCCTAATTCCCAAAAGGCCGGTAACGCACTTGTAACGCCTCTGGTGTTCCAGGTGTCCATGGGCGACGCCGATTGCTTATCATTAGGTGATCCGTCTGCTCATTTACCGGCTTATGCCATACAAAATTGTAGTTAAACAAGTTATATGGTTAAACCAATTTCCATTATTTCCAGCACTCCACATTCAGGCACAGTGTTCCTGGTTCTGATATCGATATGCAGCTTGTTAGATGAGAGTCGGTTTCAACATTTTAGGCCGGTACTAGATGTTTATATCGAAGAACACTTCTCTGCAGCTCTAGTTTACAAGTAAGTAACATTTTAGTGATACTTATTACTATAAACACAATGCGCAAATTCTCCACACTTGCTCTAAAAGTGGCTGTGAGTAATAAGTGATAAAAATATTACAGTTACTTGTATACCTATTTCGTCATTCCCTCTAAATTACCTACATAATATTAGCCGTAAATATGAAATCTATTATTTACATTATATGTTCTCATTTCAATTACAGAGGTCTTCTATCATCAGTACAACATTGTGCAGAATGGGCAGCTAGTGCCGAGGGTCAAGAACCAATTCGCAAGTGTCTACGTTCTCTAGGCGCAGTGTTCAGGCTGGCTGTGAGGTCTAGGCGGTTGTTCGCTAGAGCTACTGGTGGACAGTATGAAGATAGCTTTAGAAGAGATGTCAGGGCCGCGCTACATGCGCTAAAAGCTTTTGCGCAACACCCTTATAAAGAACATCTTGCACCGGCTCAGGTTTGTTAAATTTTGTTTGTTGTTTTTTTCTTACATACATAACATCACGCCTTTTTACCCCCGAAGGGGTAGGCAGAGGTGTACATTATACCACTGTACAATGTAACACACACTTTTCACTATTTATATAACATAAATAGTGCCCCATGTAATAGGGGGTGAGCCTATTGCCATATACTGGCACAATTCCACTCTGTGCTACTGCTGAGAATTATTTTAAAAACCCAGTAATTCTTTGCCCGACCCGGGAATCGAACCCGAGACCCCTTGCCCGCTCCCCGCTTGATACGTTTTATCTAAGTAATGGTATCTTATACGACGAAATAAAAAAATACGTGTCTAATATATTTTCATTACCTAACTTACGGAGTAAGTCTATTTGTAATGTTCATACCGTGTCATGATCCCAATGTGCAGGTGGCCCTGATGTCGTCGTGGGCGGAGGTGTCCCGCGAGGTGTGCGGCGCGCTGGGCGCGAGCGAGGCGGCGCGCGCGGCCGCGCTGGTGCTGGACGCGCCGCACCACCTGCCGCCGCCGCCGCCCGCGCTCGCACGGGCACGCCTGCGGGCCGCGCAGGACATACTCAAGGGACCGCTGGGAGAGGATCCTGGTAATACTTCCAATTGCTTTATTCATGATATTCTTTTGCAAGTTAGTCATCGTCATTGGCATTGTTTTTATAATAAGTATCATTAGACATGCTAAATTAACTAAAAATCGCGGGCTACTCACGTGACTATACTGAGCTAAAAACTAGTAGAGCTTTTCTCAGTATATTCACGTGAGTAACCCGCGATTTTTAGTTAAGTCATTGGCATTGTTTGTTACTGTTAATTGTAGTGCTATCTTTGTAAAATTCAATAATCGGTCCTTTACTTTCGAATACCGTTTCTTTTTGATTGACAGAAGCAGTTCCTTACAGTAAATAAGTCAAGTATTTACTATGATTTGCGACTTTAAAACTTTCAGCAACGTTCGCTTTGAAAATTCCTTTTTTCTTTTTTCAATCGGTCGTTATCATCTCGTGAAGTTTTGAGTCAAATTTTTGGACATCCTGCTTATCCATAGCCATCCCACACTCCTTAATTTGTCTTCCCAAATAGCTTTTAAGGATCCCATCAAAAAAGTCCTAATATTATCTTAAACTGTCAAACACCAAGCGTTCACCGGTGACCGCAACCTATTGTTCTTTAATTGTGTCTATAAATACGGTACTCGACGAGTTAATAACTTCACAGAGGCAAGAAACATAATCCTAACAACGGCCTGTCACCACTTACGAGTGCACCTAGCGCGACGAGACGAGCTACAACAATGTGCTGAGATGATAGGAGAACTAGTGGCTCTGTTGTGGAAGAAACCAGACCCTGACCGACCCGTTGAGGATGATGAACTGGATCCCGACGTCGATGTACTCTGTCTCAACACCTTGGATGTGTTGGTGGAGACTGTGCTGCATCTGATTGGAGGAAACTCGCCTGTGCTTGTGAGTAACTATTTCTACTATTATTTAAATGTCTATGTCTATGGCTTCTTCTACAAAAAAACGATTGGCCATAAATTCTATGCTTGGCGAGCGGGTCGGAGATGACAGATGAGAAGATTCACATTTTTTTTAAAAGCCATCCGCGACATCCGCGACAGTAGACAGATCCTTTTTGGATCTGTCTACTTCACATTAACTACACTGTATACTTACTTACCCTCTTGGACTTCACTTTTTTTCCTCAGGGATCAATGGTAGCTGGTCTCCTCGGTGTAATGGAACTACTAAAACCCGTCCACTACCAGCGTTTATGGAGCCATCTTGCTCCACACCCACATGATCGGAAACCACTGAAAGACTTCCTCATGAGAGCTTTCTTAGTGTTCAGGCATCTTATTGAACAAGACGTGAGTATAAATAGAAATTAGTACCTTTATGGTTAAGAATATCGTATTTCAAAGAAACATGCCATTTCAACACATGTTTATTTTATAAATTCATTACTATTTTTGCGTTCAAGTTTAATTAATTAAGTTGTGTGTTATTCACGTATAACTATTTGATGATGTTACTCGATTAGTTTCGAGCCACACCAAGGGCCCATAATCATGAGCAGCATGAGTGTCGACAATCTAATAAAACCCTTGGTTATTGTTATGCACCAGGTATTCCCAGCAGACTGGATGGTACTGCGAGTACAAAGCTGTAAAGTACTTCTGTCAGCTCTGCAAGACCTCGCTCAACCATTACTCGAAAGGTTCCTAGGAGACGAACCGCCGCAGTTTGATTCACAGGTATGTTGTAAAAAGTAACGTTGATTTATAAAAAATCTGTTGATTGTTCATTATAAACCTTGATAAGTTTAGCTTAAAATCCAAATTACGAGTTTAAGAGCAAACAAATGATACTCTTCTTTGCAATATTGGTTTTGTCAACACCAATGTCTTGTAGTGGGTTACACAAAAAGGAAATCCGCATCAAGTAGTCAACTAGATCGTCATAACGTTGGGCTTTTGTTTAGAAGTCCGTATAAAAATTGTAAGGTCTAATATTTTTTCGTTTTCTTGTAGTTATGGTCAGGCTACATGGAGCTAGGCGTGGCTCTAGTAACATCTACCGCGCTACAACCGGAGCGGTGGTCAGGGCGGGGTCCGGACCGACCGCGGATGCGCGCTGCAGCGGGAATGAGGGTGCTGGCTACTTGGAATCTATTAGGTGAGTTTTGTAATTATATAAGTTTGAGTTTCATTTTTAGAATTTGAATAAACTCAAGTTGATAATGGACCTTAAATTTTCGTTTAAAAAAAACCGTTGCCTCACACTAGGATTTTGTCCTGTATCTTAGATATAAAAGTTCACATACACGTGACACCCAGATCCGAAACAACAATATGTGTATCAGACAAAGAGTTGCTCCGGGGGGGGAATCGAATCCGCTACCCGTTACGCGGAAGCCGGTTACCCAGCCACCGCACCAACCGTGCATTCGTACTGTCGTGCTTTTAGATTAAGAATCAGATTTGTAAGAAATGCTCTTTACCATGAACTGAACTTATAATTTGTAGTAGTTCAAGTGCGAATTAGTACTCAATTGTACCCTTGCTCGCTGGATTATGAAACCAGTATCAGTTTTCTTGTAATGTCAGAATCAATTGACAAACCTACCTAAGGTTTGTCAATTGATTCTGTTACTGTACATGACACTAACTTTCCTTTCATCGCGGTACAGGTCCAGCCCAACTACACTTAGTACCAGGTGCAGTAGGAGCTCTTTTAGAGATAACCCTAGTTGGCGAGCTTCGTCGTGCGGCGCTAGGGGCGCTGGTGTCGTTAATGGCAGCCGAGCGAGCGCACGCGGGACACGCGCGACGTACTGAGGCTGCATTGGTGGACAAATTGGATTCGCTCGTAGCAGACAACAAGGCGGATGACCACTACCGACGACTATTTGATACTGTGTAAGTTTACCATTATTATACACATTTTTTTGCAAATGGTCTCCTTCTCCATGTGAGAAGACGCCGTTGATGATGGCTAAATTAGCGTAGGCGTTACTTTACGCCCAGTGTCATTAACCAATCTCAATCAGAAATCGTATTTAGCAAACTATTTAAATACCTATATTACAAATTTAATAGTGGTGATAAATGAATTGTATAAAATACTATAGCTTCTGCCCGCGACCTCGTACGCGCAATCCCGTTTTCTCCCGATCCCATAAGATTTGCAGGATTTTTTTCTCTATCATAAGAACCTTCTCCTGACAATGACAAACACGACAAAAAAAACAGCCAAATCGGTTCAATCATTCTCAAGTTATGGCGTGACAACGGGAAACGGGTTTCATTTTTATATATATAGGTAGATTAAACCAATTATTATGTTTCTCGGCTTAAACATAATAATTGATTTAATATATCTCACGAAAGTTATTACATCCATACTAATATTATTATAAATCGGAAAATGATTTACTGTAATGAACTACTAAACCGATTGCTTTGAAATTTTGCAGACTTAAAGTTAAAAGTCCGGATTAAATAACTTTTTAATCTGACGCTTTAACCTACACTTATTCGGTGCACTTTTGAAATCATTTTTTGCTGTTTTATAAGTCAACGAATTACTAATTGGTATCTATGTAGTGCTTACACTACTTAGCGATAGATGGCGCTGGGTGTTTTTCAAAACCTGTAACGTAGTGTTTTTTAAGTATTTTTTGCTTTTAAATTTTAGTTCCTACCATTTTACATTAAATTGTGTATTTTATAGATTTGAGGTTGTTAAAGGTACCCGAAATCATAGCGTCAACAATACTCAACAATTAGCAAACAAATTGTACGCTGTCGTTTCAACGCTCGATAGATGGCGTAAGGATCAAGTTAGATGGCTATGGTTTCGTTACCGGCGAAAGTATAGGTTCCGAGCTTCCATTTCAATTACATTTCTGTGTAAGCATTATATTTCGGTGTAACCATCTGGCACTGTGATTGATTTTTTTTCGCTCGCTCAATATTATTTTTGATTCTGTAAAGTGTTTTATTTTTTTAAGTAGTTATTATTATCTAAAGTAGTTATTGTTTTATCGTCGTTTTAAGTCGCTTTGTTTATTGTTTAGATTGATTGATACAGTAGCTGTATATTAGTTAGGTGAAATGGGAGGATGTAAAGATGAAGAAGTATATTAGGGTCATTTTTAGGTAACCATGTTATTGAATATATTTATCAGTCAACTCATATTATGATACCATACGTATTACTGGGTATTAGTCAAATATTAGTGAATAGATTCATAATTTGCTACTACTAAATCTAATATTGATACCTGTTTTTATTCTCTGAATATGAAATATGCCTATTACCAATGATATTATAGCTTATAATATCATTGCCTATAATAGAAGTAAAACTATGATAATCCTTCATACTTTAACGGCGATCGGCAAATAGTAGGTTATAGACTAGCGAGCGAAGTGAGTCGCACTCGCACAGATTATAGTCTCGCTAAGACTATTTACGCGTCCCTAATATTTGACTAATACCTGGTAACCTATTACTTTACATATGCATATCCTAATATTAATATACGTGACTTGTACTGTATACCTGTACCTATTATGAATATTTTAGTTATACCTCTAGAAGGATGGTATTTGGCGTAATGCGAAAATAACTCCTATTGTCTGTTGTTCTTTCACGCCTAAAACGGCTGAACGGATTTTTAAGAAATGTGGTATGAAAGTAGTTTGAGTCCTAGAAAAGCAAGGCTTTACCGCCGTAGAACTTCTCATTCCCACGGAAAAATCTAAAAACCGCGATATAACCGAATTCCACGCGACCGGAAAGTTATTTGTTTGTTTGCCTGTCGGGAAAACGGAGGTACTTAAACAACGTGATTTTCAAGTAGTCACATAAGCTACTTTTTATCCTTTTGTGACGCGAGCAAAGCCGCGGGTAAAAGCTAGTAAATGTATGAAATATTAATTACCTCTTCGCAATTTCTGAAATGAAAAAGGGCAATGTAGTTGTAACTGAATAAGTACAAAACTTTACATTTATTTACTCAGGAGTTATTTAACTCTTTACTATTTAAAAACTCTATATTACCGTCTTGTGCACCGTAATTATACTTATGCTTCGACACGAATGGGCGGGCTTGACCGTAATCAACCGACGTGAAACAACGCTTGCGTTGTTTCGTCGTGTGGGTAAGGTTACCGAAGGTCCAATTTTACGCCCTCCTTCCCCAATTTCCCCAATGCCTGAATCCCCAACAATCCTCAAATTCCTAATCCCCAAAAGGCCGATAGCGCACTTGTAACGCCTCTGGTGTTCCAGGTGTCCAGGGCGGCGCCGATAGCTTACCATCAGGTGATCCGTCTGCTCGTTAACCGACTTAACCCATAAAAAATTAAGAATACGATTCATTCAAACCTTGTGGTCTATTGGGAATGAATAATATATAATTATAATAATAATACTCATTGTTTAATTTTTATTATTATATATGTTCTTCTTGTATGTAGTATTTTGTGTACCTTGGACTTATCCATTTATGTAAATTTTCATCTGTCCTGATAATTTCTTATTCTAATAATATTTATATTGTTCACGCTACTCAGGGAACATTTGAGCTCAGTGTAAGTATAAACTAACCGATTACAAACACAACAATATCTATTTGAACTCATTATTTATGTTAATTGCACGTTGATTACCTGTTACTAAAATAGTACTAATTTACTTTACATTCCGCCAACTGTCAATTTAGTCCATATTCCGCGTAAAGTATACGCTCGTGTTAAAATATTATTATATTACCTAGTTACAGTATGAGTTATTGCGTGAAATAATTAAAATAATAAGAAGAAATCGCGTCCTAGTGTTTGGTGTTTCAAAAATGTCACTACACAATGATTTGGAACAGTTTCTTCCAATTGCAAGTATCCACAATTTACGATTATAATTAAAGTATTTGTAATTCGAGTAATTGTGAAGGAAATTCCTTTTAATGTAAATAAATTGATTTTACGAAGATATTGTTAGTTAATAAAAATAATAAAGTTTTATTGAGTGGCATACATACTGAAAACAAAATTGAAATTTACAGCGTATACGAATATTACCTAAAATACACATTTGTCGGTCATCGTATTTATATCTACGTATTAATAACAATAAATATAATTTTCCTCTACAATAATAAAGGTTGATGGAGCGTGTATCGACGGAAGGTTGGCGCGAGGCGGGCGCGGCCTTCGTGGCGTGCGTGACGCGCCTGCTGGAGCGCCTGCTGGACTACCGCGCCGTCATGCAGGGCGCCGAGCACCGGGACAAGCGGATGGCCGCCACCGTCAACCTCTTGGTGAGGATACTACACCCTTTGTATTACTGACACCTCCTCTGGTGTTGGAACTACCGCGCCGTCATGCAGGGCGCCGAGCACCGGGACAAGCGGATGGCCGCCACCGTCAACCTCTTGGTGAGGATACTACACCCTTTGTATTACTGACACCTCCTCTGGTGTTGGAACTACCGCGCCGTCATGCAGGGCGCCGAGCACCGGGACAAGCGGATGGCCGCCACCGTCAACCTCTTGGTGAGGATACTACACCCTTTGTATTACTGACACCTCCTCTGGTGTTGGAACTACCGCGCCGTCATGCAGGGCGCCGAGCACCGGGACAAGCGGATGGCCGCCACCGTCAACCTCTTGGTGAGGATACTACACCCTTTGTATTACTGACACCTCCTGGTGTTGGAACTACCGCGCCGTCATGCAGGGCGCCGAGCACCGGGACAAGCGGATGGCCGCCACCGTCAACCTCTTGGTGAGGATACTACACCCTTTGTATTACTGACACCTCCTCTGGTGTTGGAACTACCGCGCCGTCATGCAGGGCGCCGAGCACCGGGACAAGCGGATGGCCGCCACCGTCAACCTCTTGGTGAGGATACTACACCCTTTGTATTACTGACACCTCCTCTGGTGTTGGAACTACCGCGCCGTCATGCAGGGCGCCGAGCACCGGGACAAGCGGATGGCCGCCACCGTCAACCTCTTGGTGAGTCAAGTGTCCACGGACGGTGCTAACTACTTAGCTATGCTCTGTTGCCATAAAAATATGATACTTTTACTCGTGAGCTGGTCTGTCTCCCTTGATTACAGCATACTTATTTCTTAAAAATTTCCTGGAAAAATACTAAAATTAAGTTGGTCATAAAATCAATTAATGAAAGTGTGATTACTTTTTTAATATTTTATTGTATTGAACAGTCGAAGTAATTTATGTTTGACTAGCTTCTGCCCGCGACTTCGTACGCGCAATCCCATTCCCCCCCCCCCCCCCCGTTCCCGTTCGTGATTTCCGGTAAAAGTAAAAAAAAAAATTTTTGGTTAAAAAGTATCCTATGTCCGTCTCCTGGTTCTAAGCTACCACCCCGCCAATTTTCATCCAAATCGATTTAGTCGTTCTTGAGTTATAAATAGTGTAACTAACACGACTTTCTTTTATATAGAGGTATATAGATTATGGAAAGGACCCAATTGTCGTCGCCCCGTTGGCCGATTTACAGCATTCAAAATCAACACATAATAAACAGTTTTACTGGATACACTCTCATTAGAATTATCCTCCTATAGTAAATAAGAAATATTTTCTGACGCGATGGCCGAGAGGTTGGAAGTGCGACTATGGGTCTCGAGTTCGATTTCCAGGTCGGACAAAGTATTAATGGGTTTTTAAAAGAAATCTTAGTGGTAGCACGGTGTCTGGAAATATTTCCGGTATATGGCAATAGGCTCACCCCCTATTACATGGGACTCATAACATAAATAGTGAAAAGTGGGTGTTACTTTGTACAATGGCATTAAGTGCCGTAAAGACGTGATGTTATGTTATGTTTTGTTATTAATTATAGATTAATTTTTCATCTTAACTGTTTTATGCTATATAAATACTTACCAAGTCGTTTTTTCCAGAACTTCTACAAGAACGAGATAGACCGCAAAGAGATGTACCTCCGCTACGTGTACAAACTGCACGACCTTCACATCGCATCTGATAACTTCGTCGAAGCTGGTTGCACTTTACTGGTAAGCTCGTGATAATTAACTAATGTAACTATTAAACTTTTAAAGAAAATAAATAGGCACTGGCTTTGATAAATACAACATTGAACGCTATACAAGTTTGTTTGTCTCTTTAATAAGCTATGTATGATAATAAATATTAAATATTGAATTGTTTTTCGAAAAATAATAATAAACTGTAGAATATATGAAAACTAGTCAAAACAATACCTTTATCGAAACGTCAAAAACTATACTGTTCTATGAATTATGTACGAAATACCATCTTATATATTCGCGTCAAATAGCACACTTATATCTAAAAAAAATGCTAGAATAAATCGAAAATAAAGTATATCGTCATATCAATGAATGAAAGTGTATTTACTATTTGTGTATGAAATATTAACTATGTTGTGTGTATTATCTATTATTCAATATTTAATTGGACTGAAAATCAAAATAATTATTTTTGACACAGGAAACTACAAAATTCCAGAAATTGCCGATGTCTTGTTATGATTTATTTTTTATTTAATCATTTTAAAGTAATCAATATTACAGGTGGAGATATATTAAAGATTTTAAGTCTTTATTAACATCTTGATGCCTGTAGACTGACAATCATTTCTTGCTATTTCACCACGTGTTATGTGTATATTTTCAGTTATACGCAGAAACGTTGAGTTGGGAGAGCGATCAGATTGGCGTGGATCCCGAATACCCGGAGATGCCCGAGTGGAAACGTAAAGAGGCGATCTACAACCAAGTGCTACAATACTTTGATCGTGGAAAGGTAAAAAAAAACATTTTGAATATAATATCTGCTTACACCTTGAGTTGCAAGATCCACACATACATACATTCATACATACATGTGCGTACGCGTGCGTGTGTTTATGCACATTAATATGAAATTACTTACGCATTGCCGTGTGAACATCACTCACGGTGGCAGTGGACTTTTGACCATTGACTGTACATGCATTCATCCTCATTCATATATCATTCATCATATTCGTTGCTTTCTTACTTTCTTTTTTATTGTTAAATCAGTTTTTTGCGTCCCAGGCTATCTTCAAACTTTGAACTAGTCATTCAAATTATAAAATAATAAATATAAAGTATGTCTATTAAAAAATGTTCTGGAAATTGAATAACAACTATTTGAATTCCAGTGCTGGGAAAAAGGCCTGCCTCTACTCCGTGAGCTAGCAACTCTATACGAAGTGAAACTATGTGACTACCCACGTCTGTCGCACTGTCTGCGAACACACGCGACCTTCTTGGACTCCGTCATGGAACAGCTCAGACCTGAACCTGAGTACTTCAGGGTAGGATTTTATGGAAAAGGATGTCCATTATTTGTGAGGGTAAGTTTTATTGCAAAATGTTTGATCATTAATTAATTTATTATTTATGTACACACATACAACACAAAGGACAATACAAATATAAAAACAGAGTACATAATTTTAATTGTAGCTACACGAGGTTACTCAACTAATTTCAAGACTCGTTGGGGTTCATAATTGTGACAGCATGTGCGACAATCTGTACTATACATGTTACCCTTAAATTAATCTTTGTTTCTGTTAAACTAAAGATGACTGTTGATGAAGCGCAAGAGGTATTGAGAATCGTAACTATTGGCGTTCCATAGTCTCTGCCTACCCCCATGGGATACAGGCGTGAGGTTATATGTGTATGCATTAAACTAAAGCTTTTGACCTTGTTGTGGTGTAATTCTTTTTACCCGACTTTAAGGGCAATAATGTATATAATTCTTATGTTTTGCGTTTACCCTCTAGATTTGTAACTGATTTCTATTCGGTTCTTTCTCTTTTCAGATTAATATGTTAGTACTGGTGCAATCACCTTTGACGATTTTAAGACTTCGTACATTAATGCAAATACATTTTTAGCTCTGTTAATAGACTTACAAATCATGTTATTGTTTACCCCAGAACAAGCAGTTCGTGTACCGCGGACACGACTACGAACGTATCGGCGCCTTCACCCAGCGCCTGCAGGCCGAGTACGTCGCCGCGCATATACTCATGCGGAACACGCCGCCTGACGACTCCGTCATCGCTAACGATGGACAGTGTTCGTATAGTTTTCGTCTTTACGTTTACTTATAAATAAAGATTCTATCCCTTTTTGTTGTTTTACAAGACTGTTGAACAAATTTTTATATTATTTTACTGAATTATCTTGATGAAGGTTTAAGAGTAACATCTATTAAAAATAGATGTTTCTCTAAAATTTCATGTCTATTAAATTTAAGAAAATTGGATTTTAAAGTTAAATTGAGCCTGGCTTGTAATAATCCAATTATTAATCACTACTTTTAATTTACATGTACGAGGTGGTCATAATAACCATTTACGTAAATACAATTATTTTTAGTAGGAAAAGTAAATAAATAAATAAAATAAAATAAATAAAATGTTTATTTGGTGTAAAAAGCCAGGTTACAAAATAAATCTTAATATCTAAACAAAGTCTTAAAATATGTGAAACCTGAACTAGGTCCAAGCCTGTGTTTCGGGTTAAAAATGTACTGAAATATTTAAAATACAATAATATTGCTTATAAATTTAAAATACAATAAAATTCCTTAAAACTAAAAAAAATTATGTCTAAATTAAATTAAGCTAGTCTCTAAGTATAACAGGTGCGCGTGTACAGTTTCATAAACAAACGTAAGCAAAAATAATCTAAGTCAACTATAATAAAATTATTTGCTTACTTCAAGTAATTCCTAAATAATAAAAATTGGATCACTTGTACCCTTACCATACATACCTGGGAAGATTATCTTCTGTACGTAGTACTAATGCAATGCTAACATATGAAAAATACATTACAGATATTCAAATCTGCAATGTGAAGCCGGTAGCGTCTCGTCGACAATGGCCGTCTGGCACTCCGGAACAAGTCAAACGGTTCTACGCTTGCAATGATGTCGACACATTCCTCTGTGACAGACCACTACAGAAACCTCCGATTGATAAAGATAACGAGTTTAAGGTAAAATCAACTTGAGGTTAATTAGCTCAAGAGCCATTTAAAGTTAACCCTATTAGATTTTGTCCCTTCCATCGTTGAGTATAAGATCGAAAATTCTTATGGACAATTTTACACTATTTTGCCTAATTATGTAAATTTTATATTTTATATTCTGTTTTTTTTCAGAGCCTTTGGATAGAACGAACGACATTAGTGACTGAAAACACGTTACCAGGCATTTTACGATGGTCCGAAGTTATTTCGAGATCTGTTGAAGAAATACCACCCGTAGAAGTAAGTACCTATTTGATATTTTGGCTAGCATTGCTAAAATGCAATATATTATGTATTTCACCTCAAATAAATGTTATTAGGTCGTCTATGCGATGCTGTCATCTTTTACAGTATCAATTTCCATTTACGTATTTATATCATATTATTTTGCGCTTCTAATGAGACCTATTCATCCCCATCTTTAACCCATCAATGTCTTTAAGATTCTACACTTTCAAAAACCATTTCTTTCAGTACGCCTGCGAAACGATGGAAGCAACAGAACGTGAGCTTCGCAGCCTCATCTCACAGTACACAGCCGACCCAACGCTGAACATAAATCCATTCTCCATGCGACTACAAGGGACTATAGACGCCAACGTGCAAGGCGGTATAACGAAGTATGAGCAAGCGTTCATGACGGCGGAGTTCGCGAGGAACGCGAGCCCTCGGGAGGCGGCCGCCGCGGCCAAACTCAGGCGCCTCGTGGCCTCGCAGCTCGCCGTCGTCGACGCTGGACTCAGTCTGCATGGGAGACTGGCGCCTGAGGATGTTAAGCCGCTGCATAGGTTTGTTTTTGATTTGTGTGGTATCGTGTTATTTAGATCGAGTGTAGTCAGTAAAATCTATGCAAATTTAATTTACTTTAATTTAGCAGAAACTAATTGATTTTAATTAACATAATAATATGAATAAATATACACAACTTAAAATTAAATAAAACTGAAAAAACAAATAAAAAATTCGTCCGTATCCGTTGCTGTCACTGGAGAACGTGCCCAGAAGATTAAATGTTTGAAATCGATAATAAAATCTGAAGTTTTGTAAAACCAAAATAAAAGGTTCCAAGATCTGATTTAAACTCTCCTCTGAAAAGATTACGTTTGTGCCCATTGCACTTCCTAGAGATGTTATTACTTATTTATTTTATGACGTGTACAATAAAGTGTAAATAAATAAATTATATTTGCAGGCGTCTTGTGGAACGATTTAACCAACTACGCCAAAACTTAGGACCGGGTTTGGCTCGTGCACGAAGACAACTATCCGAAAGTATTGTAAAGTAAGTAAGAGAAAACATTTAAGTTCATTAATTAGTTCTAGAGACATTTCAAGAAGTAAATACTAAAATACAAACGTTTGTCAATATGCTTGTCTATAAGTCTAAGCTATGAATGAAGAAAGTTTGTGATTTACTAAATTAAATAATTATTTCAGCACTCCATTACCCCCGGTCCCAGCACTGGACAAGCGATCACAGAGTATACAACAAAGCGACAACTACTACGACGACCACCATCTCTATGATAAACCGGTAAGCAGTGCCACCTAATGAAATCACCATAGTATACGGGTCTACGAGATTTCAGACAATCCATGTTGCTCACTTACCAAAGAAACTATTTACAATAGCGGTTAAGTACTTCCTCTAAATTTGTGATAAATGTGACTGTCAAGCAAAGTGTCTAAGTTGTATTCCCAAGTCACATAATATTGTCGCGGAGAACCTAACGGGTTACCGGGGCTCCGGCTCGACGTGCAGGAAAAGGAACGGGGTGGTTTTTAGTCAGTAATAGTCTGACACTCCCTCCCGCCTCAACCAGGCGGGAGCAGTCATTCGATGATTTTCCCCCCTTAAAAAATAAAGTCAAATAATAATATTGGCCAAATATAAACGCTACCTTTAAATGTACTGTATATTTCTGTCTAAATTTTGGAGGAGTAAAAAGGCGTAACGTCTTCTGTTTACACTCCATACACAATCATCACCACATTTATGATGAACCACAGTACATAATCTGAATAATGTTATTATGTTAATTTAATATCATCTACAGCTATCAATGGAAGACGCAATGGAGCAACAGAGTATAATGTCGAGCAGTCTCCCGATCAGTGACAACCGCGACTGTGTGGAAGATAACTCTATGATCAAGTCTGCGCCGCCATTACCTATCAGACCCAAGTCCGGCGATCCTAGGAGTCCAACCAGACCACCTTTGGAGAAGTATCGGTGAGACTTATAATACACGATGTTTGTAATTCATAACTTTATCTATATTTCCTTTAATCAAAAAATATTTCATCAAAACGATTTGCAATATTGTTTGCTGGATGTTATCATTACAAAATATTTGTTCAAACAGGGATTCAATCGATGGTGACTTGGTAGACCAGTGCCGACACAGTCGCGCGTCCTGGAGCGAACCTGGAGATGCACCTCCATTACCACCTAGAGTGTCTGGTATGATACACTTTATATTTATTATTTTTTACTTACTTCCTCTTTAATTGAGTAGCTGCATCGCTATTGCCAAGCCCTATGTTCAACAGGAACTTATTGAACCCGAGATCTTCTTCGGCTGTATTTTTAAGTCGAAAACTATCACTAGGTTTTTCGTCACTGGTGTATGAATTGATGTATTTATTTTTATAGGAGACAAACGGTCATGGATCGAAGCCCCACCCGCCATACCCCGTCGCGGGCCGCGTTGTATAGACACTCCGGACGACGCGCGAGACTCCGGCGTCAGCGTCGACCATGCGTATGGAAACGCAGATGAACATGGACATCTGCATAAAGGTAAGATTTTAACTCTACCTCTAAAAAAAAAATAGGGATGCCCTTGTCCCATAATGACCATTATACGTTATTTCAATCTTTGGGCGAGTTTTTTTAATGGGTATCGGATATACTTCTCTCGCCCAATAAAGATTATTATTGGAAATTGCAGTTGTACCACGAACTTTGCCCGACGTATAAGAAATACTCCATTGACGTCATTCACGTCGTCACGTATAATGTGTCATAAATTAACCATTAAACGACGCGTTTAATGCAAAATACTTTTAAATAACATTATCAAACTTATAAGTCTTATATCAAACTGCAAATGTTTGAAACAAATGCTTTATCACATCAATTCTTCCAGATTTAGATCTCACAGTAGACTCACTACGATACGAGGAAATAATCTCAATGATGTCGGAGCCTCTCCGTGTGGATGAGGGAGAGAAACCTCCTCCTATACCACCGAAAGGACTCGGCCACCTCAGCTCCTTTGACTCAGGACACCACGAGAACGGCGAATCACACTGTTAAAGTAAGATTATATATTATATGTTTAAATATCAATATTATAAAGATTTTTGTTTTATGCAAATAGCGCTGTAAAGTGGGGCGTAAAGTCCCTTCACTCCAGTGAGAGCTAACGATTTATGCTCACCTAATAACGTCAATGTAGTGTAAAGCTCTGGTTGTTCAATAGAGAATTAGCTAATGTCAAACCATTGGACAACATTTTTAACAGCTATAGTAGTTGGCCAAATAAGACTTCAAACAGGATGTTAGTGCCATCTGTTGAGTAACAAAATGATACCACTTATTGGATGACCTGTCAAAAAGTAGCTAATGGCTTGATATTTGGCAAATACTTTGGTAGTCATACAACTTATACCACATTAGCGTCTCTAAAGAAATATCCTGAATTGAATGCCCTGTCAATGTAATATTAAGTAGCGTTTGTCTATTGATGATTTGGATTGGTCCACGGAATCTTTGCGAGTTAAAATGGCGACCTTATCATTTGACAGTTGCATTGACTTGATATGACTTACTGTGATGGATGGTGTTTATTTATTAGAGCACAATTGGTTTACAACAATTTTTGTATCATTTCAAATAATGTAACAAAAATTCAAATTTCGACTGGATGCGACAACAATCCATCCACTATAACTTGCATAACAAAACCAGGATTTTGTACCTATTCGATTTTTGAGGTTATACATCATTTGTCAATTTTGCTCTAATCGAATTCCTAAAATCAACAATCCACTAGATTATATTATTACGCAGTGCTAAATGCGTAAATAACAGTCCTGTACTTCCAAATTGTACATATTTAATACTGGACTACACTTACATTCAAGCAAATGTCAACTCTACAAATAATGCAATTACTATTGATTTTTAAATGTCATGTTAAGACTATGAAAGAACAGATTTGCTTTCAAGAAATATGTATAAACCATAAACCATTTGAGTATACGATAAAATTGATTTTCCAAAAACATTTGAATATGTGAAATATTTGGGTTTTTTTCAGTGATCATTATAGAATGATGAAATTACTAATAGTGGCCACACTATTTGTGTTCGAGTTATAGACGTTATTATCTATACATGATAGACGTATATTATGTGTTAGAATGTATTTTCAAATATTTATCAATTATTCGTAAATAAATAATAACTTTTCCGTCAAATAATAATAATAATCTTTATTTCAGACGTAAGTCCATACACTTTTAGAAAAATTAAAGAAAAACTTGTAAAATAAGTAAATTGAGTTTGTTAGTATGGTTGTTAGTACTTCACACAATAATACAAAACATAAAGTGTTAGTAATTTGTTAGTAAACAAACTAAAAAGAAGTTAAAAAAAATAAACAAAAACAGTAAATTAATAGTTCGGAACAGGAGTCTATTTCTTATTTCTAAGCAAGTGTACACTGGCCCAGTACACAATAAACGGACTGTCTATTTTGTAAGCCAACGTTCTGAGGACAGCATTGGCGCTTGAACGTACCCTGCTCATCATTGATGCAGTTCTTTTTCGAATGATGCAGAAGAAATCATCGATGGAAGCATCCGCAAACATTGCGGAAGCACTGCAGCACCTGGGTTTCCTCAACACTGCCCTCAGTGCATCATTGTACTGCACACGCAGGGCATTATAAGCCCGCCTCGTAAATCTGATCCACAGACTGCACGTGTAAAATGACTGACAGAAGGCTCTGAAGAGTAATAGTTTTACATCTGTGGTACACCGTGCGAATCTGCGGGCCAACATATTGCAGCGGACTGCCAACGCCCTCCTTTCTCTCTCTAAGTCCTCATCATCCAGTAGCGTCTCCGTCAGCATGTGACCCAAATATTTCACCTTGGACACCCTCTCTAGTGCCGACCCTGCGATTTTAATTGGCGGCACATTCGAAGGCGCCTTGTTCCCTGCTTTAAATACCATGAGAACACTTTTGCTGGCATTATATTTGAGTCCATGCGACTGGGCGTATGATTCACATATGTAGAGAAGTTTCCTGAGCGCATTGACTGATGGGGACAGCAGGACCATGTCGTCCGCATAACTGATATTATTTATCATTGTGCCATCGACTGAACACCCGACCTTGGTTCCGCTCAGCCCGCCAATAAGCTGGTTCATAAAAACGTTAAACAAAGTCGGTGAGCTTAGCAAATGAAGTGGAATTAAACGCTTTAAATATTTTCTCAGAATAAATGTTGACGCCTGATAAAGTCTTCATAGCAAACAGTTGCACGAATGCCATTGCTTACAATATTCATCAGGCGCCCATGCTAGAATATTTCTTATTTTTATAGTATGATAATTATATAGTATGCATATCATTCCTTGTATGGAATAAAATTATTATTAGATATAATTTAATGTGATTTAAAATTATATTTTTGTTTTGGCACAGAATGCATTTAGTTATCTGTCCGGGGCCATATAACAGTGATATAATATTAATTTTAAACTTTACATTTCTAACAATAGACTAATAAATCATTTACTATTTTTTCCTTTTTAAGTATTGGAGTAAAAATATCAATTTTTTTCTCTAATTACTCTGTTCTGAGTCTGAAGTTTTATGTATTCTTAACAAAATGTGTTTAATTGTTGTATTTTATTCGTGATTTTAATCAATTATGATTCCTATAAATAGTATTAAATTGGTAACGTTATTTTATACATTGACATATTTTATCGTACATCAAAATATTTGAATGGAATTGTATTATTTTTGTATGAATTTTATTGAGTTTTCTCAACCAAGTTTACCTTATTTTAACAGTATTGTTTCTGCATAATAATGCATTATATCAACAATTATTTGTCGAAGTTATTTTCAACTTTATCTTCGTATGTTTAGAGAATATTTATGCTTGTTTTACTGAACTATTTACGTAGATAAATGTATCATTTTAGTCCGTATTGCTTTGCTCAAAATGTAGTTAATATTAGTCCGTCTCTTATGTAGTACATACGTAAAAATACATATTTTTGATAATTTCATGAAAAAGTATCTCAAATAATATTCTATAAGTTTGGCAACTATTCTAGGTAACCATTTTGGCTGAATTTTGATTTCCGTATTACCGTAGAATAAATTCTTAATAATTCTTCTATTTTGTAAAATTAAAAAGTCTTGTTACTACAATTATTTTTCCCTAATAATGGTGCAATTTTATTTAGTCTTGTATGTCGTGTTTCGATGAATTTTTTCATACAATTTTTCATATTCTAACTTTACATTATTAATATAGAATTTATACCAATTACTTTTCACTGAACGAAGAATAAAATAAAAATGTATTTGTCGTCTGTATGTAAATATAACGCTTTAATTATATTGATCTCTCGATTTCTAAATTGAAAAAGTATTAAAGCTACAATTGACGAAAAAAAAATATAACAATAATCCTACATTGTATAAACATATTATCAAAAGTTCCAGCTGATTGCTATAAAAAAACTATGAAATAAATAAATAAATAGTTATCTTTTATGTTCTATTTTTAAACGATTAAATAGCAATGCAATATAAATACCAAATAGTATAAGTATACAATAAAACTACTTCAAATTTTCTACTCAACAATTAACAAATCTTCAACAAAAGTCTTTCCGATAATCAAGTGATATTTTTCATACATTTTACGCGTTAGATTTTTTAACTATAGCCCTTAAGTTCTAGGTGTTAAGATTTACATTTCCAACGAACAATTTCATAAAAATCTTTACATCTGTTAATGTGTGTAATCGTAATGTATTGTTCAACATTTTATATTTTAATATTATGTATCAACTAGTTTTTATTGCTATATAACTGTTGTAAACTTGATAATTTTTAAATAGCTATCAACATTACGCCATTTTGAAACTGCTCGGGATGTAAAATTAAGATAAGCTTTGATTGTGTATAATTTCCATAGAAATCAAATAAGCGAGATCTTTCTCACAGTTTAGAACGAGCTTGTTTCAACAATTAGACCGTTTTAAAGAACACTCATTAAATATCGAATGCGTAACGTCATTATTATGCTAATTGCTATTTTTGAACATTATTATAAGCTATTTTACTCGCGAAATTTTTGTTGAGAAACAGTGTTGTAAATCTGTTAATGATTGTTGCACAGATTTTCGTAATTTGTGATTTTGTGTTCATAAAAAAAACTGAGCTTTTAATGACTGAATTCAGTGTTCGATAAGACTTTTCAATTTAGTACTTATCAGTTAGCACTAGTGGCGCGTAAAGTATGAAAATCCAATCAGCTTAACTGTTAAAAGGTGACCAGTAAAAGGTGAAATATCCTAAATATTCTAATAGTATAATATGGATTCTATGCAACCTAAGCACCTCAGGCATTGCGCAAATCATTTTGCGCATTTTTGCAAAATTTTGCGCAATTGCAAAAACTTTTAACTAAGTAATGTTGGTAGCTATCAAAAAACTCCGCACAAACTTCATACGAATATACTGCAGTGTTTTGTTTTACAAATAACATCTCTAGTTAATTCTATACACTTTTTATATGATATACAGTTAACGGTACGTTCCACTGCTACGACTTTACCAATCACATTTATTTGTCAATTTTTATATCGGATTATTGTAAAAGTAGAATCTTGTGGCAGTGGAACGTACCTTGAGGAGTTTTCTATACATTTTCATGTTTCTATTATCTACGTACGACAAGTATTGAGTTACCTAAGCTGAATGATTTCGACTGATTTTTCGACTAGTTACTGTATGTTTATGTGTGATTATTATTATATTCCTTTATGTTAATGTTACATACTTCTCAGTAGAATAGATGGATTCGTATTTAAAACTAATTTTAGTGTAATTATACATGTAATCGTACCAAAAATTTCTTCAGCTATTTTTATAAATAATTTAACATTACATACGCATTGGTATTTATTGTTTCTTGTACTGTGTATTGGTAAAATATGGATAGAGTTAGGAGGATAGTTCGCCAAGAGAAATTGTTCAGTACAAAGCGTAGTTGAGTTGAGGCTCGCTGACTAGTAAACGTAGCCATTTATCATCAATTTATATTATGTAAATGGGCGAAATAAATATTTAGTTGGATGCATGAATTGGTGTTTTATTTTGTCATACCTGTGAGTAATACGTTAGCTTCTGGACATTTACTATCATAGTTCAAGATCCCAGAGGCCCCAGACATTACTTATTATCAGAATATTATTAAGATCTGATCTGGCATTTTTCTTTTTTAATAACTCGACTTGTCAATTCAGCGAACCCAAAGCCAAAGATCTCTTCTTACTTTTGTAGTAACCCGGATGAAACCTAAGTTTTCAGTCTCATCAGTTCCTCTACAACCGGTCACCCAACGAATAAACTCTACATTTACCGACATAAGATCCAAAACTGCACGCCTTTAAATATAAACTTCTTCGACATCACAAACCGAGCCTATAAAATAGCTTCAATAGCTAATTAAGTCCTAACATTACCGAAAGTCGACCGCGTCGTCCGCCGCCGCCGGCTAACGCGTTGTCATGCGAAACGATTATTGTATTTACCGATTGAATTTCTAAATAATAAGCGCTCTTAGCTCCGTAATTGAAGGCAGTCAGTTCGATCGATACCACGCCTAGACGCGTAAAGTTACATGAATTGGGACTGACGGATAAATCCGGAGATAAATCTGCTGTGTAGACTTGGTTAAAATGTTTGTGAAATCGAGGAGGGATTAAGTATGTATGAAATTATGTTAACATCAATTTTCTACAACGGCCTGTTACAATTTACTGCTAGATCCGTGTCCATGCTGTACGTTTAGCAGACAGTTTAGAGACGGCAGTTTTAAAAAAAAAATCAAGTTGTTTTTCATACCACGACGGTGGCAAAAAAAGGACACCGCCCACCTGATGGTAAGTGATTTCCGTGGCCTATGAACGCTTACAACACATGAGACATTAAATGCGCCTTGCCGAACATTAATAAACCTATTTACTCCTTTCTTGAAGAACCCCATAATGTAGGCCACCGGGAAAACCTTCATTCCACAATCGGAGGGGTGGACCCTGGAGGGATAAAATGACTATGAAAACGAACTGTACGGGACCATTTGGCCTCTAATGTGAGAGCGTGAGTTCCCTGTCGATGGTTGGTCGAGGTTGATGAAAGAGCCTAGTCTCTAAAATGCGTAGGTGTCGACAAATATGAATATTATATTTTACTGTAACCGATCAGACAAAATATTTACTACATGTTTGTAGTTTGTATAATCCATTGTGAAGGTCCGGGTAACAGACACAATGTACCATTTAGACTCATGGCTTGAGTCCTATTCGTCAACTATAGACTCGTATTGCCAAGAAATTAGACTCGCTGATCAATCCTTAGAAACACCTTAACTTGGCACTAAATGGTGTTGCATTCTAGTAAAGTGCCAAGTCGAAGCCAATTTATAAAACTAAGTACATACTTACCTATACGTAGATAATCTTTTTTAAGGGAAAATCATCGAATGACTTCTCCCGCCTGGGTGAGGCGGAAGGGAGTATCAGCTTCTTACTAACTAAAAATCACCCCGTTTCCTACTCGCGATCCCCGACGCCCAGAGTGTCTCTTGGAACGGCTTGGTTTTGAAGAGGCAGTGCTTCGCTGCATCACACTTCCCGCCTCCTCCTTAGCTAGCATAACTGCTTCACAGAAGAAAGAGACGACATCCTATTCTTCCTCGGTCCGCATCATGACCTGGACTAGGGCGAGACGCGGGAGTTCGCCATCGCCGATCACATCCCTGAGGGCACGGCGGTGCTCAGCTCATGCAGAGCATGCCGCCACCGTATATTCCACCGTGTCCTAAGGGCGGTCCTCGCAGCGACGACACCCGGAACTATACCTAATATGAGCTGATATTAGGAAAAGAATGATACATTCAAGTGATAATGACACATCGTACTTTAAATGTTTTTGGATTTAGTTTTAATTATGGTGCTGATGGTGAATTAGACTTTGAAGAGCAGATCTTTGGTGAGTACTTTTACTTTTTTAGCATGCCTTAGTTATTTATCTCCTTTAAATCTAGGCTGTTATCATTAAACCAATTTCTTTATAAAGTTCGGCACATCAGTGAAGTGAGTATGTTTTAATGAAATAACTGTTCCCGATCGATTACCTTTTAATACTAACTTATACAAATGCGATACATTACATTATATAATATAGATCTTACATAGATACTACACCTCATCAGTACGAACTAAAAAATTGTATTTTTTACTACCTAACTAAGCACATAACAATAAATGTTCATTTAGACCACAATCTTCTTCAGACTAAGTAGGCAAATATCTTAATAAAATATCAGACACAATTCCTTAACCCACCGTCTTAAGACACATCGCTACCATACTAACACCACGTAGAACGGACTCGATAACTTCTCAATATCACCGCCCACTCATGCCCTTAATGGACGCGCGCAACATTTGACAATATTCGACACCTTAATGAGAGGGAGCCTCTACATCACCCATCGAAAGCTTACGATATGTTGCGAATAAGCAGCTGAGGCAAGGCAATACAGGCACTTGTGAAATCGCCTCATTGTACTGCGATACGGGCAATAAATTCTCCACTTACTCATGTGCCTATAAATTGTTATTGTAACTCGAAGATAATTTTATGCTAGGTTTATTTTTTTTTTATTGTTTTGTCTCGGAGATAAAACTAGACTTAAGAATGTTGTAGGTTTTAAATAGTGAGCCTAAAGTCTGTTTTAAACTGCCAAACACCGCGAGGACACCGGTGACCGCAACCTATTGTTCTTTAATTGTCTATAATGACGGTACTCAAAGGGTTAATAAATTCGTAGCGTTATAATTTCATTTTGTTTCCTACTGTTTGACTGCCTCGTTGGCTGTGGTCGCAAGTGCGACTGCCAGGCAAGGGGTCTCGGGTTCGATTCCCGGGTCGGGCAAAGTCACCAAAGTATTTCTGTGTTTTTTTTAAATGTCAGTTAGTAGTATCATGGAGACTGGAAATGTGCCCGATATATGGCAATAGGCTCACCCGGAACCCCTATTACATGGGAATGGGACTCATAACATCAATACTGAAAAGTGGGTGTTACCTCTGTGTGCACGTCTGCCTACCCTTTTGGGGATAAAAGGCGTTATGTTATGTTTGTTTCCTACTTTTTGCGAATTAAAATGGCTATCTGCTTCACTGTCTGATTGTTTCTAAAGAACACTCCCGAATCTTCAATTGACTGACAACGCATTTGTAACTTCTCTGGGGTTACAGCTTGCGGGTTTTACCCGTCAGTTCAGCCATATGCTCGTTTGCCAACTTACTTCATAAAAACATAATAACATTTTTCTCAAACTGAGACTTACACTTAACCTCTTGGTCGATGATTAGCCAACGAGTCGGTCAAGTGACGAGTCAACTTACGTGTCTGAGTAACCATCCATAATATTCCCATAACTTATAGCTTAACATAACGTCACGCCTTTTGTCCCCGAAGGGATAGGCAGAGGTGTACATTATGCCACTACAATGTAACACCCACTTTTCACTATTTATGTTATGAGTACCATGTAATAGGGGGTAAGCCTATTGCCATAAACCGGGCACATTTCCAGACTCCGTGCTACTACTGAGAATTTATAAAAACACAGTAGTACTTTGCCCGACCCGGGAATCGAACCCGAGACCCCTTGCCCGGCAGTCGCACTTGCGACCACTCGGCCAACGAGGCCATAACTTATTAGGGCTTAAAAACTGAAGCACAATTAAGCATAACGCGGCAAAACAAAAAGTAAATATCATTTGAATTTTCAATGCTCATGTCAATTGTCCATTACGTTAATAGCGACATAAATTGCTCACACGTATTAAAAATTATGTCCAGGCCGTCGAATAAGTGAATAAACGGTTCAAGAGACACCTGCTTTTTTCTACCAATTAATTACGATTACACATTAATAGCAATAATATCTGCAAGCTGATACGGACATAAGAGTTGAATCAGTCATCTATAAAAAGTAAGTAAAATGAACATTAAAATCGATTCACTTATCCTTATCTTGAACAATATAATTATATTCAGCTTTCACATAAACAAAATAATAACAAAAAATTAACGACATACTTATAGTTAAATGAACGACATATTAGATAATACTCTGTTCTAAATTGTAAATACCTAATTTGTTTTTAAAGCACTCAATCCCAAAACTTCTAAACGGCTTTTCATATTTATAAGTAAGTACTTACATATATATCACTCTGTATCTACCATTGAGAGCAAAATATTAGGCAATAAATCATTATAAAACTGAAAATTACAATACTGTAAGATGATAATGTTACAATTAAGGTATATTCCGCAATAAAATTTTACGCAAGTGAAGTCGCCGATACAGCTAGTGCTAGTAGTAGGTACATATGTACCTAGGCACTTACTACAATGCCTATGTTAATAGACTAGCTATTAGTCTTTTTAAACACAATGGCCCGTCCGTTAATAAGTAGGGAAGGCGTTTTGTTTTTTTTCTTGGCAAAATGAGCCTTGATGCTGAATAAATTGTATTAAAATACGGTCTACAATAGCGTTAACAAGGATATTACCAATATTGATGCCGAATACCATTAAAGTCATTGAAGGGTTGTATTGTTTTAGATTTGCGTCTGTACTTTTCTGCATCATTGCCTATTGCCTATAATGATTAGAACTTCGTTATCTACCTCATTTCGAAGTATTTAAAATACTGGCTGTTATTTTTAAATCAGGCAAATCTTTACAAACCAAAAAGTACTGTCATTATTGCGTCAGTGACATTTGTATTATTCGCTGCGATAAATATAATAATTCTACAATAAATACTTACTATTTCATTTCTTCATTAAGATTAAAAAAAATAAAAATGGCGGTTGCATTGCCCATGGAATCCAACCCGGATACAATGAATAAATATTTGGAGAAGTTAGGCGTGTCCGAAAAATGGCGGATGGTTGACGTAATAGGTTTAGAAGAAGATGCTCTGAACTGGGTTCCTCGTCCCGTATTAGCCATAGTCCTGCTCTTCCCGCTCTCCGATGCCTACGAAAAACATCGTCGTGACCAGGAGAAAGAGATGCAAACGAAAGGACATGAACCTCCCAAAGACGTGTTCCATCTGAAACAAGTTCTTAGCAACGTATGTGGAACTATAGCCCTGGTACACAGCGTTGCTAATAATATTCCCCATATCGAGCTCAACGACGGCCTGCTCAAGACTTACATTAATGAAGCGAAGAACCTTGACTCGTCAGCTAAAGGCGCTCTTTTAGAAAATTCTGCTGCGATTTTGAACGCGTACAGGGAAATAGTGCGCACGGGAAGTGAGCCCGGTACCGAGGTCGAGGAAACCGTCAACAACCACTTTGTGACATTCATCCACAAGGACGGCCACCTGTTCGAGCTGGATGGACGCAAGTCATTCCCTATAAACCATGGCACGACTACTCCCGAGCGTCTCCTAGAGGACGCGGCGAAGGTCTGTCGTGAATTTATCGCCAGGGAACCAGATAACATCGGCTTCAATGTGGTAGCTCTTGTCCCCGCACAGTAATATTTCCCATTTATTTGGTTGTGTATTTCAATTCATTTATTTAAATACATATTAATTACATTGTCAGACAGTCATTTACGAACACGTAGAGTTAATGTAACTCGTATTCTTTTTGCTACAAGTATCATCGCTAATGAAATAATCGCATAGCAGTGACGTGACGGGGCTGCGCAGCGGCTACACGCGATCCTTCAATATGGCACTACGAAAAATGGCGTTCATTAATTCTCTTCATTAGCGAATACCGGCACATTCAGTTAGCGTACTCTGCTGCACGGACGTCGATTTAAGTCTTTAATTCATAATTAATCTTGCAGTATTTAACAAATCGCCAGTCGGTGTTCGAAACGGTGCGTTCGTCTCAATTAAGATATCCGCGCGCATTGCCGCACTGCCACACTGCCAACACGGCTCCTGCATTCCTCCTTAAAATTCTCTATCTTCGGAAACTAATTAAAAATTCGCCTCGCCTCCGTGGTTCGGTGTTCAATCGGGACGATATAACTTCATTTAAAAACGAGCAATCTTGTCGAAGATAAGGGCTGGCGAGAAAACAACGAAGAGCAGCGCTCGCCACACGCGGCAGCGACGCGGCCGGACAAAAAGACAAACCAAAGAAAGAACTCCAAACTTTTAAATGGAACGCGAGAGAATTCACCGCGTTAACTATGTCGATACTGGGAAGGACGCGACATCGGTAAGTCACGTCACCGAATAAATGACGCCGGCACTGAAATAAATATATAAATATTGTGTAAATAAACAAAATAATACGGCGAGGACCCGAAATGCTTTAAATATTCAAATGAAGCGAGCCGAGGTGAAATACGAAGGTGCGCTCGCTCGAGTTGAGCCCAATTAAATCGGTGCCACTGAGGTAGAAATTAAAAACAAAAGGAAGATGACGGGGGTCCGGCGCGCATTTTTCTCATGAGTATTATTAGCGCGATGTCAACCCACAAAAAATGGAGTTAGAGGGTTGTCGTGGCCGCGATCATTATCGACTACATCCCGCGTTTTGTATTGTTTTGATAAGTGTGATGCTCTTTGGCTCCGACGTTTTGTTGACATTTTATATTCACCATACACCCGTGATTGATATGCTTGAGTCTAAATTAATTATACTGAATTTGAAACTGCATTCTTTGCCGGTGGTGTTATGCAAAGTCTTATACAACGTTCGTTATACATTCTCTCGGAACCTGATTACAATTTGAATCATAATCGGTTCTCACTACTTTAATATCGTATTTCTATGCAGACTTATTTAGTTTACATGTCCTATTGTGCACAAAATAGTGCGTCAATCACCTGACAAGTGCGCATGAGATGAATTAATGGGAGAAAAACAAAACCTTAAACTGTGTTGGGCACGGTCATTAGTCATGAGAGGCTTGGCGAGAACAGATTTAATATTTGCCTATAAATCAATTATAGACGTGTGGAGTCGCTTAGCACTTAACGCTTTATTATTGGACTGCTTTCTTAAACAGCTATGATAAATTGCCTACGTATGTTCTCTTTGCAATCAATTTTGTAGGTATATTGAAACGAAAGTAGGGGGCAAATGTTAAAATTAAGTCGAAATTATAATCCACAGGGAAGGTATTAAATGGCTATATTTAACAGTCAGTGTTTCTGATCCATACACCGTTCACTGAATGGAAACTTTCTTGTATTGCTAATATCAAACTGCAGTTCGACTTACATTTAGGAGATTCGTGTGATGATTACGTCCCAACGTAGCAGATAGATTATATTCTATTTTTTAACCTTTTTGACACCACATTTGGTATAGCAACACTCCAAATCGATTTAACTGCACTTGTATCGTATATTTGTTGTTCCCATTCCATTATAAAGTTCAGATTCATTAACACTCGTAGCGACCTATGCGCCTCTCGCACGATTTATCCAAACAAAATACATTTATTTTAGACAATGAGGATCTAAGTGGTTATTGGGAGAGATACATACCACTAAAATCACTTCTAAAGCACTTTAGAATTAAGCACACGATACATTGCTCAGTTTTAACCGAAATTGTTAAAGATTGTGTTCAAAAAGCGGCGATGTAGTGTTACAATTTCTTGGCTCGGTAAACGATACTACGGGTGTTGTAGTGTTGGGTGCAGGCGCTCTCCAGGGGTCCCGCCGAGGCCTACCGACGCTCATCACTATTCAATAAGCTCCATTTATTGAAATTACATAATTTGTGTGTGAATAATGACGATTGTGATGAATCTTCGTGGGCGATACGAGTGACTTGAAGCCGATTAACTTTTGACCGGTACACGATATTAATAAGCGGTTGGTTCGACACTCGCTTCGCTTAATGACATGGAAATAGAGTGCGCCATAAGCTGCGCGTTCACTCTGATTTCTGACGTCGTTTATTTGAATGGATGGTATTGTATGGGAAGCTTTTGGGCGACTTCAATATTGTACGTTCAATTTGTTTGGATAGCTTTTGGTTGCTGCGGAGCATATTCTGATGAATTTACAATAAAGAACAATAATAATAATAAGAATTTGGATTGATTTTTTCACACAATTTAAAACAAATTGTTAGTAGGTGCTTCCCAATGTGACGTGGTTTAGGGTTTTAGACAACGTCAAAAGATATACAGAGGCAGTATACCTACTATTTTATGAGCCTTATTTCCTCAGCGGTGAACCTATGATCATATTGTCTAAACAATCTTCATCCTTCTAAGAAACTGAAATCTTCGCAATAAGATTTTGTTCAGGAATTAATCGTTTCTTAAATATAGGAAACAGCAAACGTTTTCTTGAAGGCAGTAAGTACGAGACGAAAGTTAAAACAAGGAACATATTATTTTCCCATCACAGTATTTACCTCTATGTACAGTGGGTAGGTAGGTAGGTGCCTAGTTGTAGGACATTGCAGAAACATTTGCGACGTACATTATTGTGGTTTATGAATAAAACATAATTCTCGTACACTTTACAAAACGCAGGAATGCGACAAACCATTGCTTGATTTCGACATTTTGGTAAATAACGAAACGATTTATGGTGGCATTGTATGTTTTGTAACTATTGATTTGTTTAAACATTTCACATGTAAAGAGGTAGATATAACTACAATTATTTTATCAGGAATGAAAATGGTCTACCTATTTTGGGACACCTCCCTTCTGAACTGCTACAGTTTTGTAAGCCTGTACCTTTACCGGAGCTGCGGAGGATCTAGCGAGTTGCCGGGGCCCCAGCTCGAAGCAAGAATAAGAACAGGTCTAGTCTTTTGTCAATAAGAGTCTGAAACTCCCTCTCGCCTTACTCAAGGCGAAAGAAGTCATTGAATGATTTTCTCTCCTAAAAAAAAGCCAAGATCTTCAGCAGTGAATCAGATCAGTACTGAGATCACCAAGCTAGATATAAGTAGGTAAATCACTTCAGTCGTTACCAACTGTTTTACTTGATAAATACTTTTTTACCAAACTATCCTTAATTTCGCATATTTACAGTATCAAACACAAAGGTTTCATCACACACAAAGGTCAATGACCTTTTTCTAAACTTCACTCACATTCCTAGTATTTTATACTAAATCGAGGCTACATCATCGCAGTACCTACTAATACTGTTAAAGGCAAGTATAGATCTAGGAACACCTAATCAATATGCACTTCTAAGTTACAATAACAAAGTACTGAGAAAAACAATTATTTTCTTCACCCATTGTAATGCTAAATGGATGCTCTAATACTTCGCACACGTACTTCTGCAGTTATTATTTAGATCGAGTAGAATACCAGCGGCATTCCTTCATGTCAAGTAAAAACTCTATGGTTACATATGGAGCTATACAAAACCAGTGTATCATGGTCTTGCTGTCTACGATTTTTCCGCTCATTCCGAGGTCAGTTTAAACTGGAAGACGTATCCTCATATGCAGCGTGTGCACAATATTAATAGCCAATGAATTATGACGTTCAAAGACTGTCCGCTAATACATTTTCCATATTTTCATGGTAATTGACGCATTAAAAACTCTGTATTGACTATTTATGGTACATAATCGAGTGCGGGAAATTGGTCATCTATAATACATTACGATTACTATGTTTCTAATCGCGTTCGCTTGTTTGATGTCTTACCGTGTAAATTATTGATTAACATAATTAATTCTACTTGAATTTATTATAAAAACATAACGTCTCGCCATACACGTCGGTTGCATTTAAAGTGCGGTCGCTTTTTGGTAGTAAGAATTATTAGTTCGATAATAAAGAGCCAATCTATGACAACAAACTAGGTACAGTTCTTGACCCTTTGTCATTATAATATTTAGTGATAAATTTGAAATCGAAATGCTCCAATGCTCCATAAGATGTTGCCCAATCAAGGATCAATCCCCGAACTTTGCGCGGCTACTATCCAGCCGACATAAGGCAGGTCTACGTCAACCGAATTTTTTTAATGTAGACTATAAACAAAAATATAAAAACCATAACAATCGTCATTGCAATTAAGTTGTTTTGACAGAACATTACTTTTATCAGTGGCTTTGTAGCTGAGCTCGTAACCCGTACCTCACCACGCCATTCCTGACTTCTCAGAACTGAGACACCCACAATCCACCGCTTATTTACCAAATCAAACCATTATTTATATTTTTTCATCCGGATTTTCGGGTAAACGACCGAAACGCCAACATCCAACGACATATACGTAGAAAGCTGGATGATATGTACGTACCAATGCGCCTGCGCAACCATGCCGAGCGTTTACGACTTCCGAGAATACCCGAAGGTACCCGACGCTATCCGAAATACGGTAAATCGTCTAAATTAAGTAGATGTGACTCCACTCGTATTTATTAATATGAGGTATGTATTAATTCCAAGGGTTTGTTTATTTTTTAATTATCCTGATATAGAATGTAAGGTTTCGTGTTTTAATTGGTGATCCTTGAGTTGATTGATAAGGATATCGCACATTAGGAGGTAAAATCTAAATATTTTTAAAGGCTT